CCTCTGCCTCCCGAGTGTGCTGAGATTAAAGGCGTGCACCACCACTGCCCGGCTCTACTTTTCTTTCTTTCTTTCTCTCTTTCTTTCTTTCTTTCTTTCTCTCTCTCTCTCTCTCTCTCTCTCTCTCTCTCTCTCTCTCCCTCTCCCTTCCTTCCTTCCTTTCTTTCTTTCTTTCTTTCTTTCTTTCTTTCTTTCTTTCTTTCTTTCTTTCTTCCTTTTGTTCCCTAAGAACACCTTGCATGGCAACTGTCAGATGAAGCACAGTTAGTCCGGTATCAGGAAAAGCATCTTGCTGAGTCCCTTCTGTCTGTCTTTCCTCCCTTCCTTCTTTCCTTCTACTCTTTTCTCCCTCCCTTGATGTTGAGACAGGGTCTCACGTAGCCCAGGCTCTCCTTGAACTTGCAGCTTAGTGGAGGATGACCTTGAACTCCTGATCCTCCTGCCTCCACCTCCTGAGTGCTGAAATTACAGGGCTGTGCCACCATACCTGGTTTGTTCGGTGCCGAATCTCGAACCCTGGGCCCCATGCAAGCTATGCACGCACTCTACCAGCTGAGTGCCCCCCCCCCCCGCCCCCCAACCCACTTTCTTTTCTTTTAAATGAAGAAGACACACCTTTCTGGACAACGACCACCCTGGCCATGAAAGTTTGATGAGGGGCTCAGGGAGTGGATGACACCTTCTCAATTATAACGCCACTCTAATAAACCCCCACAGAGCCACAGGGCACAAAGTCTGCAGCCAACGAGCGAGCGACACCTATTTATTCCCTAATTACGTGACAATATATTCTCTGTGTGTGTGCTGATGAAGATAAAATATTCCTTTAATTCTACAGCCACCTGGGGGGTGGGGGGAGGGGGCCTCCTAGAAGCTTGTCCTGGGAGTCCCAGATTTTAAATCACAGCCTTTTCCCAGCCCCTGCTCCAGTAGAGTCTCCAGGAAAATCAGTCCCTTTCCTCAGTTCCCCACACCTAAAGTATGGTTCCCACAGTGAGAGCATCCGCATGGCTGGAAGCTGGATGGGAATGGCAATTAGCAAGGCCACCCCAGGCCCACTGAATCAGAGGCCAAGGGTGTGTCCTGGGAGCTGGGTTGCTATAAGCCCTTCCCTAATGGAAGCATGACCCCTGCTGTCTTCCAGACAGAAAGAAGGGCTTCAGGTTTTTGTGGGGTTTGTTTTGTTTGTTTGGTTGGTTGGTTCTGTTTTTGTTTTGTTTTGTTTTCAAGACAGGGTTTCTCTGTGTACTCCTGGCTAGCCTCGAACTCAGAGACCCACCTGCCTCTGCCTCCTGAGCGCTGGGATTAAAGGTGTGCGCTACCACTGCCCTGTTTTGTTTTGTTTTGTTTCTGGAGGAGGGCTCCAGTTTTTGTTTATTTATTTATTTTATGTGTGTGCATGCATGTGTGTGTAGGTCCATGTGCACATGTGGGAGAGTGCATGCAGAGGGCTTGGGACCAACCTTAGGTGTCACCTCAGGAGCGAGCCACCTTGTTTTTGAGACTGCGTCTCTCACTGGGACCTGAGACTCACCCATTAGGCTAAACTGGCTGTCCATGAGTCCCACGGATCCTCCTGTCTCTGCCTCCCCAGGGATGGGGTTATGAAGCACACAGCACTGTACTCGGCTCTTCAGGAGGGTCCTGGGAATCAAACCCAGGGCCTCAGGCTTCACAGTAAGCACTTTATGGACTGAGCCGTCTCCCCAGCTCAGAAGAAGAGCATTTTTAACTTGAACGGGACATAAGGGATGCCTGGATTCTACAGCAACTGAGTCCATCTGACCGCACAGCTGTCCCAATCTACAGACTTGGGGTCTACTTACCCATCTATCTGTACAGTGGGGCTCCAGAGCTTGCCAAGCAGCTGTGGGTGCTGCAGTTTCAGAAGTACACCGTCACCTGCTGGTCTCTATGGAGACTTAGCAAGATCGCAGTCGTCAACATGCACCAGCTCCCTCCTGCAGAAACTCTACAGGGCAGCTCTCCAGTGCCACATATAAGCTCAGCAATACAGCTGTCCTGGGTCACCCCTGGCAACCAGCCGACTCTCCAAACCTCATGGTCCAGTGTTTCAAACTGTCACGGCGAAGCCCTGAGCCACCTGAGGGGAGGCTGGGGTCATTTGTTACATAGCCAACAGTTCTGCAGATGCCCTTTTACGTATGTGCCTCCTCTGTGCAACTAGACTGTAAGCATAGAGGGGTGGGACCTAAGCAGTCAGCAATAATGAGCTGGAGACTGTCCCTGTCTGATCACGGCTAGGTCCCCGGGCCCAAGGACAAACTGCAGAACTAACAGCTGACCAAATGTCCCCAGGAGGGGAAATGCCCAACTCATCCAAAGCCCGGAATGCTCAAGCACCTCGTTTCTATTACATTTATTTATTTATTTATTTATTTATTATTTATTCTGGGAGCAAGGGTTCATGCCATGGCAAGTGTCTGAAGGTCAGAGGGCAATCTTGTGGGAATCAGCTCTCCTTTAACCCTTTAACTCCCCAGCATCGAACTCGAGGTGTCAGACTTGGCAGCAAGCACCCTTACCCGGCTGAGCCATCTCATCTGCCAGCACCTAGATTCTAAAAGGGAAGCTGGGAAGGAGCAAAGGAATGCCTGAAACCTGGTGGGGGTGGGGGGATGAGCAGGAGGAAAGGAGGTAACAGCAGCTTCCACAGCTGTGTCCCTGGCCCTCGGGTCACCCAGTTCTGCCTTCAGAGCCAACGCTCACCTTTCACTTCCATAGAGGTAGTGGATCTGTGAGCCAAAGGCTGAACTTGAGCTCTCCTCGGCCCTTACTCTCAAGTCCTTGCACCGCCACCGCTGTTCCACTGCCTGGGGTTAGCAGTAAAAGCCCTTGTCCTCCAGTGGCAATGTACGAGGCTCACTCAAGATCCTACCCCCCACACACAGTGGTTTCCACTGAGAATGCCTGCCGAGTCTGCCACGCAGGCCACCTGAGAGCCAGGTCTGTGGCACTTAAAAGCAGATACGGCGCAGGCACAAACTCTGCACACGGTAGACATGGCTACTCTTGGAGGATGCTGGGTATCATGTCCTGCCTCGAATCTCCCAACTTCTGGCCCTCCAGCCTGTTCATTCTGCAGTGCAGTGGCCTAACTGGGAACACCTGCCTCGCGCTAAGAAAGTGAGGAAGTCAGTAAGGAAAACTAGGAAAGGTCCCCAGCCCTTTGGCAAAAAGACTTGATTACTTCCCCTTAACCCTTAGCTAGTTCTAAGCGAGTCCCTTCGATTCTCTGGGCTTCAGTAGGCTAGTCTGTAGAATGGGAAGAAAAGGGAAAGGACTGCGGTTATAGGTTTCGATTTCTAGCCGCTTAAACAATATATGAGCAAACATCGAAAGCCCGGTGCTTGATATACACCGCAGGGAAATTCGCCAAAGGAGCAGAAGGTGAAGCGCCGCATCCTAGGCTGGGGGTTAATGTCAATGCCCTGGGGCACTGAACCCACCCTACTGAGCGGGAGCAATGGCTGGTAGGCGAGCCTCTACGCAAAGACCTCCCGCTTTTTTGCTGCCTCTACCCGCACTAAGCCTCACATGAGACCAATTCAGATTGCAGTCCAACAAAGACGCCAGGGAAGTAGGAAAGCGGTGAGGGTCGGCGAATCCAGCCTCTGGACTCGGGGAGCCAAAACGCCACCCGGGACAGGCTCAGGCAGTCCCGGCCGCCTGCCGCGCGCCACCACCTGGTCAGGACATTAACCCCAGTTTCCCCCAGCAGAGTAATGGGCGCGGATGCGCCGGGCACAAGTCCCCTAGCCACAGAGAGCAGGGATGGCCAGGAGCCCTAGCCTCCCGGTAAGCATCCTCCAACGCGCTGGAGGCCCTGCCTTATTGGCTCCCAGAGGGACCAAGAGTGGAGATACTGATCCTAGTCACTTGGACCAGTTTTTCTCGAGAGCATCGCCAGCCTGGAAGGAAGCTGACTGACTTCGCGGCGGGGGCTCGCGGGGACGGATCCCGAGACACGGCGACAGTGGGATGGAGCGTGGGAGCCAGTTCCAGGAAAAAGCAGCTGGGGCTCGAGGGCTCCCGTACCCGCTAAGCCGACACTCGGCTCTCCGGGACTGCAAACGGATGGTGGCTCCGTCCCACTAGCGACCTTGATCCCCGCAAGGAACGATTTTTTATCTATTTTAAGTCTTTTTTCCCCCCTAAAAATTAAGAGAATAAATCAAGTCTAAGAGGAAGGTGGCCGCGCAGGGCAGCCACGAGGACCACCCGTGTCCCCACCTACAACACTACCGCCAGCGATTGGGAGAGAAGTTAGGAACTTCGGGACAGCCACCCACGAGTGCAGGAGGAGTGACTCGCTTCTCTTTTAACTTTGGGTGTTGAGGTCAGCGCCGAGGGTCAGAGGGATGTCGCCAGAGGCAACCCACAGGACTGCAGAGCATCCGGGATTCCCTCAGCGAGAGTAGGGGGGAGGGATAAGGAAAAAAAAAGTGAACCCACGTTGCGCGTGGCACAGGCTGGGCTTGGGCTCCGCGGGGACCAGCGCGCCGCCCCACAGCTCGGTGACCGTTCCCGGGCTGGGAAGATGCGGGGCGGGGCGCAAGTCCGGTACATCTAGGGTGGCTCCGGGCCGGGAGTCCCCAGATTCGTGCAGAGCTTGGCAGGTTCCTTCTCCCGGACACCCGCACCGCGACTCTCGGGTCTTTCCCCGCACGTGGAGGCGGCGGCCGCTGCGTCCTGACTGCGGCCGGAGGACGCGCGCCTGGCCCACTCCGGGGCTCTCCACGTCTCGCACGGACCCAAAGGCGCTCCCGCAAGCCCAGCCATCCACCTTCTGCCCCTCACCAAACTCGCCTCCCAGAGCCCGGACCCGACCGGAGCAGCTTGGCGATCACGGAGCTGGTGGAAAGTTAGTCTTGGAGCTGCAAAGCCCCCTCCCCTGGACTGGAACCCACATCCCCGGCCCAATGCACCCACAATGTTCCAAGGCTCTTAGTCCCCGCGGACCCCACCCAGCCATCTACCTGCTTCCGCGGCGCGCCCAGGGCTCGGGCCAGCCAGCCGCGCGGTCCTGTGCCCCGGAGCCGGAGAGGCTTCAGGATCCCCGGCAGGAGCGGGAGCTGCGTACAGCCCTGAGCCGGGCAGCCGGCTCCGGGCACTGAGAGCGAGTGAGCGAGCAGGAGGCTGGAGCCGCTGCGACTGCTGCCTCGGCAGCCCCCACCCCCTGCGTCCCTCGGCCCCTCCCTCCTCCCTCCCCTCTGCGCTCTCCCTCCTCCTCCCACCTCCTTCTTCCCTCCCTCTTTGGTCTTTTCAGACCCTGCGATCGCGCGCGTTTGCTCGCTTTTTTCTGGCTTTCTCTCTGCCGGCTTCCTTCTTTTATTCTCTTCTCACTTCCCTACTCTGCATCCACCCCTTCTCGTTCTTTTACCGTTTTTCCCCCCTCTCCCTCTTTTCTGTATTTCTCTTCTTGTAAGGCCTCGCATCTATCTCTTCTTTCTCTTCCCTTCTCCCCCTTTTTCCTCCCTGATGGATCAGAGTGGCCTTCGCACCTATTCTTTCTAGAAGCTCCGGATCGGGGAGCCAGCCAGGATCGAAGGGAACCAGGAATATCTCCAAACTGCTGAGGCTAGAGACCCGGGAAAGGCAAGAAAAGCGAAGAACTTAATGTGCAGAACTGGCTGCTCTGAGCCACACCTGGTGAAGTTGCAGACATTGCCCCAGAGCAAGAACTTGCCATGCTGTGGTCAACTCCAAAGGCTGGTCACATCAGCTCTGCTTCCTGCGGCCTGGGACAGGGCTTCAAACTGGAGTTGGGGGCTGGGGGTGCGTGTTAAAGACGGGGTGCCAGAGGCCTGGCACAGCACCCAGAGCCACGGGGAAGACTTCAGTCTGCTGCGACACCTTAGACTACAGCACTCCTAGTTTGGCCAGGCGATGGGGACACCTGCCCATTCAGAGTGTCACAGGAGGGCTGGGGATTTATAGCTCAGTGGTAGAGCGCTTGCCTAGCAAGCGCTAGGCCCTGGGTTCGGTCCTCAGCTCCGGGAAGAAAAAAAAAAAAAGAGTGTCACAGGAAACCCTTCACCCCCTACTCCTCTCCAACATGTGAGGGGCTCACTTTTGCTTCCCGGCTTGCCAGAAAGGGAGTGGGGGGGGGTCGCTTTCTTCCCTTGAACTCAAATCACACTTGGGGAAAGGTGGCCTGCACCTGGAAGAATTTTGCCAATAAAGCAGGCATATTTGTGGCTTTGAGAAAAGCCACCCAGCACAGGCTCCTATGCAGTCTGAGGAACCAGCTCTTTTCCCGAGAGTATCAGCTGTCATCTGCCCATTTCAGCCCAGCCGGGTTCAGAGAAGACAGAGGAGACCCGCTTTCCCACTGGCCCACAACAGGCAGCAGCCCTGCTCTGGAAGGACCAGATTAGGCTTCCAAGCCTGATTTCAGCCATAACTCCTGAGGCTCCGGTGGCACCCTGTGAGAGGTGAGATCTTTCTACGTTGGGGTTTCAGGCCCCACAAAACTCCACACAAACACCCCCAGCAGTTCCTTGCCTTGGTATATCAAATCAAATAGACAGCCGATGCCGGGGCTTGTTATTTACAACATAGAAGCAGAGCTTGTGGCGGTGCCTGAGGGATGAGGCACTTAGCCAACAAGCGCCCTGCGCTTGCACCACCCTCCTCAAATCCTGCACCCCAGAACACCTGCATCTGTACCCCCTCTCTAGGGCTGGCCTTCCTGTGCAGGGCTAATTTTCTGGCTGGAATATTCAGCTCCCCACGTGACAATCAAGAGACTGAGTTAGACATTGAAAGAGTTCCCATCTCCATAGCCCTGCAGGGTGTGGGTCTCTCACACTGGGAGGCCAGCTCCACTCACTGTGACACTGGAAAAAAAGTCACTTAATCCCTCTAGCCTCAGTTTCCCTGTAAAATGGGAACACTAACAGTACCATAAGCCCTGGGAGGATAGTCCAAAGCCCAGTTCCTGGCACGGTGAGTTGGTGGCACTTGGCCACTGTCAGCAGTTAATATTAATTTAATTAAAATTAAACTAGGCTTTGCATGTCCTCTTCACATTCGCTCTTGGGTTCTGAGCCCCTCTACCCTGCCTCTCACCCGTGTGTGGTAGCCACCCATTTCTAAGTGGGTTCATGGATTCATGGAGGTGGATGGGTCTTTCTGGATAACCGTTGTACTCAAAAGCAACACAAAGCAGGCCGTCCCGCCCTCCCATCCCTCTACTGCACTCACACACTGCCTGGCAGGAATTGTGTGTCTAAGGATTGCTGGGGGTAGGGGAGGGTGCCTGGTTTTCTGCCATACTCTAAAAAGCTGCACGGATCTATAAAGCTGGACCTTCCCTGCCCAGATGGCAGGCCTCCAAGAACACATGTCACAACAGAGCCAGAAGCACTTTTAGCAAACATCTCTGGGAGTCAGCTCGGGGTCGGCGGGAACCCACAATCCATCATTCACTTGCCAGGAGAGCCTGCTCGCAGGAGACCCTGCTAGAGGCATTACAGGGCTTGGCCTGGTCCAACTTCTGTAAGTTTATTTGGGAAGTTGTAACATCTAAGACTATGCTACTCACCTAAGGGTAAAACTTGAAGCAAAAGTCCACCTACTACCCAAAAGCTCACACTCCCAGGATGCCCTGGAACCTCTCATGTAACTAAGGATGACCTTGAATTTCTGATCCTTTGGCCTCCATCTCCCAAGTGCTAGGATTACAGGTGTATGACACCATCCAGGTTCTCCACAGTGCTAGGGATCAAACCCAGGGCTTAATGCATGTTAGGCAATCGCTCTACCAACTGAGCTATACCCCCAATAGACACATACACACAGTAGCTAAATACCTACATAGAAGTTTATGTTCTACCTGAGGAAGGGGGAAAGGGACACTGTGAGCTGACTGAGTGACCTGGAGTCAGACACCTAGCTCAAGTCTTTGTGCTGTCTGTCCCTTGTCCTCTAGGGGACCACGAGGACATACCTTTTTGCCTAAACAAGAGAGGAAGGGAAGAGGTCAAAACTCTTAGGCCAAGCTGAGATGAGTCCTCCTTCCTGGAAATAAGTCCCAGGAGACAGGGGTGCCCAGGGCTCAGAAAAGAGGTAGTGCTCCTTTTCCTAACTGAGGTGGCCCCTCATGCCTTCCATCCTCCATGTCTCTTCTCCTTTTCTAAAGAGACCCTCTCAAAACCCCAAGGGGAAACCCATCGAGGACTCCCAGGTGTTATGGAATATTAGTTTAAGATGTGTTACATTTGTTTGTGCTGTGGAATATTTGTTTAATGATGCAAACATGTGTTGCATTCTTTTATGTTGCATTTGTTTAACTCTGCGAAGCTGTGTTACTTTGCCTGTCTAAAACATCTGATTGGTCTAATAAAGAGCTGAACTGCCAATATCTGGGCAAGAGAGAGAGATAGGCAGGGCTGGCAGGCAGAGAGAATAAATAGGAGGAGAAATCTAGGCTTGAAAGAAGAGGAGGAGTGAGAAAAAGAGGAGAGGAAGACACCAGGGGCCAGCCACATAGCCAGCCATGGAGTAAGAAGGAAGGAAAGATATAAAATACAGAAAGGTAAAAAGCCCAGAGGCAAAATGTAGTTAAAGAGAAATAGGATAATTTAAATTAGAAAAGCTGACTAGAAACAAGTCAAGCTAAGACCAGGCATTCATAAGTAAGAATCAGTCTCTGTGTATTTATTTGGGAACTGGGTGGTGGGCCCCCAAAGAGTTAACAAAAAAAAAAAAAAGCCCAACTATACCCAGAGACCTGTGGAACAGCTGGGTAAGGAAAGACTTCAGAACATTTGGGTCTTTTGAACTCTTCAGACAAAACATGACACCATAGAGCACTAGAGAAGGATGTCTGTCACCCCCCCCCCCCCCCGCCCCGACTCTAGGGCTGTTCCACAGCTTACCCTCTCAGATCTATCACAAAGCCTAGCATAGGACTTGCCTCATCAAAAGAATAAGACTTTTACAATTTGTTGAGCCAGTGAAGTGGCTCAGTGGGTGAAGATGCTTGATGTCCAGCCTGACAATCTACGTTCTATCCCAGGGACCCACATGGAGGAAGGAGAGAACCAACTGCTGAAATTTGTACTTTGGCCTCCACACATGTGCTGTAATTTTTTTTTAAGTTTAAGATGCTTATAACATTAATAAAATATTCACATAGTATTACAACAATCCTGTAGAGCTGGCGTTATCATTCCCCCTTTCCAGAAGGGAAACGGAGGCTAGAAGACCATAAGTCTCACAAAGCCACAAAAGCAGTAGCAGGCCGGAAATGGAGCTCACGCCTGTTTGAAGTCTTTTCTCAATGCTACAGTGTCCTCTTGCACTTCAAGGGCAGGACCAGGGTGAAACCAGCAAATAGACAAGGGTCAAACCTAAGAAGGTGTTCAGCTCTGGGAGCTGACTTCATGCACAGAACGCTGAGAAACAGTTACCTGTTGAAGTCACCTTGGGTTATGCGACCACAGGACCTTTGGTGTCCAAGCCAATTTGAGGTACAGAGGTCAACACACGAGGTCATATGCACCACACACATGTACCAAGCAGTAACAACCCAACAACCCACAACAACCCAAAATGCTCACACATGTGATTTTCATACCCACTAAGAATTAGTGAGGTGGGCCAGTGAGATGGCTCAATAAAGAAAGATGCTTGTGGCCAACGCTGATGACCTGAGTTCAATCTCTGGGACCCACATGGTGGAGGGAGAGAACCAACTCTCACAAGTTGTCTTTCACACAGGGACTATGGTATGCTCTCTGCGCATGCACACACACAAAAAAAAATTCTCTTATTTCTTGTTTCTAGTCAGCTTTTCTAATTTAAATTATCCTATTTCTCTTCTCAAGGAGGTGAATGAAGCCCAGATGAAGCGGCTGTATAACAGTGGTCCTCAACCTGTGGGTCTCGACCCCTTTGGGGAGCAAATGACCCTTTCATAGGGGTCATCTAAGTCTATCAGAAAACATTAGATATTTACATTATGACTCATTAAAGTAGCAAAATTGCAGTTATGAGGTAGCAATGAAAATAATTTTATGGTTGGGGGTCACCACACCATGAGGAACTGTATTAAAGGGCCGCAGCATTAGGAAGGTTGAGAACCACTGCTCTATAAGCTTTCATGAACCCACCACCAATCGAAGGCTTGATTAACTTGCTTGTTTTTATTAAATGGTATTCAATATTTAATAACTTTTAATATGGATTGAATATTTAATCAGATTGGTGGAGAGTATTTGTGCCAGTCATTTTGAATTGTGACCCACTCTCAGAAACCAGCCATGGATATCATGCCACATTGTCCTAAGTTACTTTGAATTGTAGGTTATTGAGAAGGCTTGCTGAGATTTAAGGCCAGCCTGTTTTGTACAGTGAGGTCAAGACTGTCTCAAACGAGAAAAACAAAATCTAAGTAAATAAATAAGCAGCCAAGCATAATGGCACACACCTGTAATCCCAACACCTCAGGAGGCAGAGGCAAGTGGATCTCTGTGAGTTTGAGGAGGCCAGCCTGGTCTACATATGGAGTTCCAGGCTGCCAGAATGAGAGGGTGAGAGAGAGAGAGAGAGAGAGAGAGAGAGAGAGAGAGAGAGAGAGAATATCTAAATACTGAATCTATTGACAGCCAAACTTGGACTGTGTCTCTCCCTTGCCTTCCCGAGTCTATCAGAAGAAGAAATGTTCCCTATGAAATACCATTTTCAGACCTCAGTCTTCCCCACGTCACAGGTGAGCTGGAAACAGCTGATGGATCAAAAGTGTGTATGAGACCTGCTTTTCCAAAAGGAGAAACATGATTTCTGAGTCTGTTTTTTTTTTTTTTAATGAGACAGGGCCTCACTATACAGCCCTGGTTAGCCTGGCGCTCTCAGGCTGGCCTCAAACTCAGAGATCTGTCTCTGTCTCCCCAGTGCCGCCATTAAAGGCGTGCACCACCACACCCGGCTCAGCCTGGAGTCATTTTTACAGAAGTGAGAATAGAGATGTGAGATACAGATTTCAGAGGCATTTCAGGGAGTTTCCTAAGTGGAGGGAAGGAAGTGGGATTCTAGACATCGATAAAGGAGCTCGACAGATCCAAATGTGAGGATTTTACAGTTCTCAGGCGTTCCCGTGGCTATATTAATGGTGCTCTTTGGCTAATAAGTAATTATACAACATGCTTTGTTAAAGGCAAAGTGAAATCACTGGAAATGGTCCTTATGCCACAGCAGGCTGCAACCCAGCAGGATGCAAACTGCTTACTCACAAAAGAGAGCAAATGCACTCTCCATCAAATTACTCTTCTCGCTGACACACCTCTGTCACACTCCGATTTGCTTTGACTTGAGGTCTGGAGCCAATGTAAATGAACACTGTCTAAAGAATAGTGGTGATCAAAAAACAGTGGCTGGAGAGTGGCCTCTGGCTGAAACCAGGACACTCCTGCTCCCGGCCGCTGGTTTCATCTTGTTTGCAACAGAAAACTGAAACATCTAGACCACTGAACACTTTCCCATAGCAGATCCAGGATCCTAGGATCCTCTGGATATAGCAAGAAATCCACGGAGTCTGTTTAAAGGACAAAGGAATTTATTAGGGGGAAAAAAACTCACTGTAAAGAACTACATCTGGAGGCCAACGTATCCTCCACATCTTCAATAATCTGTCAACCAGTAAACCCTGCCAGATCTCCACAGCAAAATGCACCTACCTAAATCCTCCCATGTTCTGGGTCCCCTGCTTTTACCTGTGCTCTTCTTGGAGACATAAGGATTTCCTATTCTCCTTCAAGCTTTGAAAATGCCAGTCTCATCTTTTAAAATTCTGATCATCAATAAGCTTTCCTTGGCCCCTAATCAACCAGTTGGCTTATCTAATTTTTTAATTATTTTATTTTGTGTGTATGGGTGCTTCACCTGCAGGGATGTCCTGCGCCTGCACCGGATGTGTGCCGGATGCCCACAGAAGCCAGATGAGAGCATCAGATCTCTAGAACTGAAGTTACACATGGTTGTGAGCTGCCGTGTGGGTGCTGGAAATCAAACCCAGTTCTCCAGACAAGTAGCCAGTGCTCTCAACCACTGAGTCAACTGTCCAGCTCCAGTTTACTTTTTTTCTTTTTTACAATTTTTTGTTTTATTATTTATGTGTACATGTGCATGTGTCAATATAAGTATATGTTCAAAGAATGGGGTGGGGCCCTAAAGAGGCCAGAAGAGGGCGGCAGATCCCTTGGAGCTAGAGTTAGAGGCATTGGCGGGCTGGATTCCAGTCCTCACTGAGCAGCAAGAACTCTTGAACCATCTCTCCATTCGCCAGCTGATTACCTTGACTAGGATTTCTCACTGGTGTTTATTTGCGTACGGGTCTAACTGACCCCATTGCACTGTCTATGAAGTCATTCCAATATCTCCAGTCCCTTGCACAATGCCACACCTAAACATGGATGGATGGATGCATGGATAGGTGGATGGACAGGTGGATGCATGGCACCATGAGTGGCTAGGTGCACGAAGGGTGAATGCATGCGCAGATGGATGTACAAATGGGATATGTGTAAGGAAAGGCACATGAGTTTTTACTTCTGACTTCCTGGTTGTTTTGGTTTTGGTTTGGTTTGGGTTTTCCAGACAGGGTTTCTCTGTGTAGCTCTGGCTGTCCTGGAATTCACTCTGTGGACCCGGCTGCCCTTGAACTCACAGAGATCCACCTGCCTCTGCCTCCCAAAATCTGGAATCAAAGGTGTGTGCCACCACTGCCCGGTTTATGTCTGACTTCTTATCCTTTGACAGGGGTTAAACAAAATATTGGAGGCAAGGTCATCTAATCTTCCTAGAGTCTTATAATGCTACTCATTCTTTGTCTCAAGTCATTTTTTTTCCTTTTGGTGCTTTGATTTTGTTTTGTTTTTGAGAGAGGATCTCATGTAGCCCAGGCTGGCCTCAAACTCTCCTAGAACTTCTGATCCTTGCCTCCCCCTCCCAGGTGCTGAGATGTCGGTGTGTGCCTCCATGCCTGGTATATAGAGAAGTTCAGGCATGCTAAGCAAGCATTCTGCCGACTGAGTTGCATCCTCAGCCTCAAGTCAAATGTCAGAGCAATTAGCCATCCCTTTGTTTCGTAGATAAAGGGATTGTCCAATAACACGTTTTCTTCTGACAAACACTTAAGAAATTCCTTCTGTGTTCTAGGCTCTCTGCTTACTGCCTGGACTCAGAAGCCAAACCTGAGTCAGCGCAGGGGCCTCTGGAAGTCCAGCCAGCAATCTCTGTACAGCCACCAAGAGACTCTGAGGAAAGCAGTCTCCTTGGGAGGAGATCCAGAAGACTCACAGGCAGCTTGATTTCCCAAAGCCTCGAATCCTTAGTGTGAGGACGTGGGGTATCAGCTCAATTCTCATGCGTGGAACAATCTGCTCTCCTCCTCTTCTTCTTCAGCCTCCTCTGCACCCCGCCCTGCTCTGCACTCCTCCATCAAGCTGAAAGGATAACGGGCCCTGGGTGCCTGGACCAGAAGTTCCACAGGGACAGGGCTGTGCTTTGTCCAACATTATTTACCAGTCTCCAAAGCTCCTGGGACAAAGAGGCCACAGGTGAACGCTGTTGGTGAACTGGCCGCATGACGGGTCCCACTTGGTATTGACCGGTGATGCCCCACTCCGTTCAGAATGCTTTTACCCTTCTTTGGCCTGGCACTTACTCATCCAGGCAGACTGAGCTCAGGGATGTTGTCCAGGGGAGATCTTCCTTGAAGCCCCTGGACTGAACTGAACATTCCTCCTTTATGCTCCCTGGCTCCCGCGCACAGGCCTGGGTTCCCACTGGCCACACATTCTGCGTTTCTCTGGTATGTGTCTGTTCCTTGCACCTCACTTTGAGCATCTTGAAGACAGAGACTGCATGCTATTCATCTTCATACTCTCGGCTCCTTGGCAAGAAGTCTGGAGCAGAAAAGGCACTCTATAAAGATCTGTCAAGTTGAACTAAACAACCCCAAAGTAGATGCAGATTGGGTCACATGGAGCCTGATTGCTGATTCATTGGTCATTTGGCAAGCATTGATGGAGTGCCTAGGGTGTGCCAAGCCCTGTCCTGGGTGCTGGAGATCCATTGCTAAGCCACACAAATAGAAATGAAGATGAAGTGAGCATATGTCAATTACAAAACCCAGATCTTTTACTAGGCTAGTTACATGGTGGGGAGAGCCCATATGAACACTATTTAAATCTCCGATTTAAGCTAGGGAACTGACTCAGTTACTAAAATGTTTGTTATGCAAATTTAAGGGACAGAGTTCAATCCCTAGCACCCACATTTTAAAAAAAGACAAAAAAAAAACAGGGGTACTTGTAATCTCAGGATTGGGGAAGCAGACACAGGCAGACCCCTGGGACTCACTGATCAGCCATCATAGCCAAATAAGCAAGTTATGGATAAAAGTGAGAGATCCTGTCTCAAAAAAACAAGATAAAGAGCAAGTAAGAAAGATACTATGCACACATGCATGCATACACACACACACACACACACACACACACACACGTACACACACACACACGTACACACATACACACAAATAAACCTCAATTTTAACTGTAACTATTATTTAAGTTTAGGCAGGTAATGCAGGGTCCCAGCTCACTGGTCTCTCTGCCTCAAGTACATAATAGATATGTACTGTAGTCTCCTGAGGGATATGTTGGATATATTTATGCAAGGTCGTCTGAAATTCCCTGAGCATTTTAAAATCTCAATAATTTGCCTAGAAGTGCTCTGCAAACAGCATTAAGTATTTCAGGGCTTAGAAAAATCCTTCACAATTGCACCAAATGCATTTGTATTTAAGATCCCAAGATAAATAAAAAAATTGAAGTCCAATCAACTTTCAATTCGGTTGAAATTCAATTGAGTTTCATTTAAATGCCATTTATGGACTTCTCTGATCATCCCTCTCCCCTACCCCACCCCCAGTGTTACACTGAACACACTTTAACGGGCGGCACGGAAGAAAACAAAGATTACTAAGGCGTGATCTTGACCTTCAGAGAGCTCCCAGGGTAGTATGAGAGACCACAACACAGCTGACCGACTGCCCCGCCTGGTCTTAAAAGACGCTACAAGCTGGTACCCATACAGAAGGTGCTGCTGCGAGAGCACCAAGGGCCACTCTGCTTGCTTTGCCTGCAGAGGTATTAGGAAAGGACTGGCAAGAGATAATACCTGGGCAGAGCTTGAATCAGTGAGTCTGGCCAACAGTGCAAAGCTGGGACAAGACAGAGAGGCAAGCGCCTCACACGCGGTGAATGGAGGTGGCATGGTGGAGGTGGGGGTGGGGTGCAGCTGGAGCAGGCTGGGACTGCGGAGAAGAGAGCAGCGGGACCGCAAAGGTGAGCTGGGCTCCGACAGTGAAGGATATTGAATGATAACAAGGTAGGATTTTATCTTGGAGATAATGGAGAATGTTATTAAAGCTTAAAGGTTTTAAAATTTATGATGCCCTTATGTATATATTATACATAAGGACATACATTATAATACCCTGTCAAAGTGGATAAAGGCTAATATTACCTGCCTTTATGGAGTGTTTAGTTAGGCAGGCTGGGTGGTAGGCATCTCCTATGTGGTGTCACACTTTATCTTCACGACAACTCTAGGAGGGAGATATGATGCCCATTTTACAGATGAGCCAGTGGAGGGACAGCATGGTTAAAGCCTCCCCGGGGGGTCCACATCAGACCTGAGTGCAGACAAGCCTGACCCCAGAGCCCATGAACTTAACTTTGATGCTGTTGCTGCCCATTCTACAAACAAGGAGCACCTTCGTGAGTCAGAAGCTCATATCAAGGGTTGGAGGGATGGCTCAGCAGTTAAGACCTCATACTGTGCTTGCAGAAAACCTGGGTTCAGCTCCGAGCATCCGTGTTAGATGGCTCACGACTGCCTGTAATTTCAGCTCCAGAGGTTCTAACGCCCTCTCCTGGCCTCCCTGGGCACCTACACTCACCTGCACCAATCCACATGCATACACATAATCAAAAATAAAATTTTAAAAAGAGTTCACAGCAGCCTTTTTTAGACAATATAGATTTAAATAGCAAATGGTTCACATTCTTTAACACAATATGAGTTTTTTTAAAACAAATATCAAATCAGCAATCTACTCAGAGATGCATGTATGAGGATGATGGTTGCAATGTGATTTGGAACAAAGAAAAGTCAAAAGCAACCAAAATAATCCCCATTAGGAGAAGGTTCCTTATAAAGTGATGACATTTAATGTAACAATTAAGATGACCATCGCAGGCCTGGGATGTGGCTCATCTGGTAGCATGCTTGCTTAGCATGCACAAAACCCTGGTTTCATCCCCAGCCACATAAACTAGACGTGGTGGCACATGCCTGTAATCCTAGCACTCAGGAGGTAGAGGCCAGCTAAGATGATCCTTCTAGGGCTGGAGAGAGGGCCCGGTGGTTAAGAAGGCTCACTGGCTGCTCTTCCGCCGGACTTAGGTTCAATTTCCAGCACCTACAGAGTCTCTCATAACTGTCTGTAACTCCAGTTCTCAGGGATCCAACACTCTTAACTGGCCTCTGAGGACACTGTAGTCGTGTGGTGCACAAACATCCATGCAAGCAATACTCCTATATGTATAAAATTAAAATTTTTTAAAAGTTAAAGGTGATCATTGTATAGAAAACTGTTTCTATAATCCCAACTTTGACAAAAATATACAACAACAAAAATAAAATAAAAAGAAATAAATAAACATGTAATTGGCAATAGTGTCTGTTACGAGGGGATTAAAGATGGTGTTTTCCTTGTACACCCTCCAAATTTTCTATATTTGACTATCTCTTTTTTTGACAAAAATACAAGATCTTGTAGGCCAGAAAGGTCAGTGGACAAAAGTGTTTGCCACCAAACTTGATGACCTGAGTTCAATCTCCAGAACCTTCTTCTACACGGTAGAAACAAGGGCTAAGTTGTCCTCTGACCTCCACACATGCACTGTGGCACACATGTACATCACATCACACACACAAACACACACCACTAAATAAATAAATTTAAAAATTAAATACATAAATGGCGGCGCACGCCTTTAATCCCAGCACTCAGGAGGCAGGGGCAGGTGGATCTCTGTTGTTGTTTTCCCAAGGCCAGCTAGGTCTACAAAATGAGTTCCAGGATAGCCAGAGCTGTTACACAGAGAAACCCTGTCTTGAAAGAGTTAATTTAAAAAAAAAGTACATGAATTAAATCTATCCTTTGAAATGACTACAGTTGTGTCAGCTGGGTCAGCCTGGACAGTGACATATATATCAGCCACTCATCTGCCACTTGACCCTAGGATACCTGAAGATCAGCATGTTAATTAGCCTGGCACTCTGGCAGCTAATGACAAGCAAGGGTCCATGTTCAAACCATCCCATTGAGTTACCATCACTCACAGACCCAAATAAAGCAGACCACTAACTAACCTTTTTTGGTTTTGGTTTTTGATTTTGAGACAGCATCTCACTGTGTAGCCCTAGCTGTCCTGGAACTCACTTTGTACACCAGGGCTGGCCTCAAATTCACAGAGATCCACCTGCCTCTGCCTACCGAGTGCTGAGACTAAAGGCAACTAATTAATCTTAGAGCTGAAAATGTCTCTCTTAAGCCAGTATGACCATGTGTGCCTGTAACCCTAGTATCGTAAAGCAGAGACCAGCGTATCCCAGGAAATCACCAGCCACTCACCCTAATCAAAACACCAAACTTCAGGCTCCGTGGGAAAGCCTGTGGGAGTGACAGGAGGGGACTCCCAAGCTCATCCCTTGTCTCTGCATCTCACACACATGCAAGCATACACAGCCCTGCTCTCCAAATGCGTTAGCACATGTGTTAAGCACTGTCATGACTACCCTTTAACCCACCACGGTTAACTCTTCAGGGGAGGTGGGAGGGGAGGAGACAAGATGGTTCTAGAACTTGGGAGATCCACTGTCTGGTTAAAAGCTGAACCTTACTATCAGATGACCGGGCCCTCTCAGAGGAATTAGAGTTAAAGCTAATAACCCAATTTGGAATAATTTAAAGCTCTTTTTAGGGAAGTTTTTGACTCAATTGGGTTCATTATGCATGGGTTTAATGTGTAACAATTTGTTCTTGAAAGCTAACATTATTGTTGGCAATAAAGATAGGAAGTAGAAATAAGTTTCCAATATGTAAAGCAGATTTATTTCTCGTTTCGTGTGGACCTGTTCCGGGTCTCTGCTTGTGAATCACGCCGGGCTCCCGCAATAGGCTGCTGTCCGTGTGGCTGGTTATGATAAATGGCCTGTAATTGTGAATCTGATATTGGTTTTCAATATTGAATTTATCATTCTGTCCTCTTAACAGATATTAAATACTTTTAAGAATTTATCCATTTGCCTGATCCATCCGTGATTTTTCAATATGTAAAATTTATTATTTTCCTAGTTTTTTGAGATTTTAACAGGCCGACAACATCATTAATAACCCTGAGTAATGGAGCTGACCTCTTTTAAACCTCATTCCCGTCCACTAATCCAGAACATTCAAATTGAATCAAAATGTATTCAGTTTAGGGGCTTGAAAGGAAAGGGACTGTGGCGGAGTGGGGTGTCTGGTTTGAAATGCGGCTGCTGCAGGGACGGCCACAATGTCACCGCTTCACCTCTGGTCCTCAGGGCCGGTCCTCGGGGCTGGCAGATGGAGCCAGGCCCCTGTCTCTGCCTTCTCTGCAGCCTCCTCCTTCTCCCCCATTGGACGCACTCACTCCGCAGCCTCCTCCCCACGCTGCCTCAGTTTCTTCCCCGTCGGTGATGGATGATCATAATAACAGCGCTTGTCTGGCTCCCTGGCAGAAAGTACTTGGTGAATTAATGAAAGCTTGCAGGCTGCACACACAGGGAGCCCCTCCAGGACAACAAGCATTGCTGTCCCTGGAACTGGCATCAAGCTTGGTGGAGAAGGATTTCTTCCTCATGCTGCTGAGATGGTACAACAGAAGGCAGAAAGAAAGCGGGTCTCGGGGCTGGAGATGTGGCTCAGTTGCTAGTGTTTGCCTAACATGCACTAGGTTGTGGGTTCAATCCCCAGCAATGCATAAACCAAGCATGGTGGCACATGCCTACTATGCCAATACTTGAGTGCAAGAGGAGTGTCAGGGTTATCCTCAGCTATATAGCTTGAGATACGTGAGATCCTGTCTCAAAAGAGATCAAGGCAGGTAGGGAGAAAAGAAAAAAAAAATCAGGCTTTGTGTAAGAGAAACAAGGCTGTGCATAACAACAGCAGCAAAGCAGGGCTCAATCATCCTTGACCACGGGCTCTGTATGCTTAAGGCCACCTAAGCACGCTGACGCCAGAAGAGCATGGAGTTCACTCCAAGTCAGAATTCGGAGCTGGACCTTTGCTGTTCTTGAACATCTATTTTTACATGTGCTGAGTTCAGGGGACACTTGGAGGCACAAAGGCGTGCTGGCCTGCAGTTATGGGGCTCCTCAACCCAGAGCCCAGAAAGGCATGAAGCCAGAACCAAGAGCACATGTAGAGGAACAAAGGACCTTATGACAGGACAAAGGAGTGGACGGAGGCAGTCTGGGAGGTCCAGCTGGCTTTCCTGATCTTGCGCATAAGGGGTGCAGAGGCAGTATCTCAGGTGACTCCCAGAGAGGCGCAGTCCCCACTGCCTCGACTTTGAACATTGAAAATCCAGCTTGTTCCCTCCCCAGAGCTCCAATTTCATATTCCTGCTGCAACTGATTGACTTTCAGTCCAATGAAAATCAGTTCCCTTGAAATTTTTGTCTATTTAAAGACTATAAGCCAAGATCAAACCCATCAGAAAAATCAGGGATTGTCAATAGGATCACCAAGAGGTGACAAATTTCCAAAGGGCTCCTGAGTCAAGAAGCAAGTGGCTTCTTTTAAAAGCAGAAGCCAAGAGGTCATCTGGTTCCAGACCTCAATCACTAGGCAATGTCTGGTACACACACACACACACACACACACACACACAGAGCAGAGAGAGAGAGAGAGAGAGAGAGAGAGAGAGAGAGAGAGAGAGAGAGAGAGAGAGAGAGAGAGATTCATGGGAAATGAGCCTTCTATCAACCCAGACACCTCAAAACCTTTACTACTCGCTGGGCACTGATGACATACAACTTTAATCCCAGCACTCAGGAGGAGAGCCAGGCAGATCTCTGTGAGTTCGAGGCCAGCCTGGTCTATAAATTGAGTTCCAGGACAGGCTCCAAAGCTACACAGAGAAACCTTGTCTCGAAAAAACAAAAACAAACAAACAAAAAACCTTTACTATTCATCCTGTCTCAATGCCTTTCATAACACTGACTAACCACATCTTGGAGCCCAGCTCTGAGAAACATAGGTCATTGTCAGCTTTCAGACATGTTCATACCTGGAGACTGTTGTGGGGACACAAAAAAACTTACACAATACTGTCTCTGTCCTCAGGAAGGACCAGTGATGGCCCTGTGCTTCTAAATCAATTATTGAACACTTACTGCATGCCTGGCACTGTGCCCAATGATGCAAAGAACACGGGAAAGAGAACCACACCCAGTCCCTTCCCCTGAGCTTACCTCATTCCAGATCTTGATACACTGACCAGAGTGGGTCACGTGATGTGTTAGAGTGTGTGGCAGAAGCAGTAAGTGTAAAGGGGTTGGGAAGGATCAATGCAGGTGAGAAATGATTGTGGTAAGCCATAAAAAGCATTGTGAGAAAAGAATGGGTGGAGACAGATGGGGGCCAAGCTGGGCTGCCTGCATGTGGGTGTGGGTATGTGTGCTAGGAAGTGCTATCTGTGTGTGTGTGTGTGTGTGTGTGTGTGTATGTGTGTGCTTGCGCACATGCCTGTCTGCGTGAATGTGTGTGTGTGTGTGTGTGTGTGTGTGTGTGTGTGTGTGTGTGTGTGTGTGTAGGCCAGAGACAACCTTGATTGTTGTTCCTCAGGTGCTGTCCACCGTTTTCTTTTTGCTTCTGAGACAGGATTTCTCACTGACCTGGATCTTGCCAAGTAGGCTAGCTGGCTGGCCAGCAAACACCAGGGATCCTCCTCAGTGCTGAAATTGTAAGCAAGCACAAGAGACTTTGTTTTATGTGTTCTGGGGATCAAGTTCAGGTCCTCATACTTGCAAGGCAGGCACTTTACTAACTGAACCATCTTCCCAGCTCCCACCCTGTTTTTTTAAAGACAAGGTCTCATACCTGTAGCCCAGGTTGGCCATTTGAACTCAACACAATCCTCCTGTCTCAGCCTCCCAAGTGCTGGGATTATAGATGTGAGCCTACACACTCACTGAGGAATTACTTTCTTTGTTATACATCCTCTCAAATATCTGCCTTCTCTCAGACAGTCTCCTTTATAAGGAGGGAATAAACATCAGTGGTGAATACCTAACTCTGCTCTCAGCATCCGTTACCACAGCACCCTCCTCAGCCACTCTGCCAAGCAGACATTCCAGGCCCCTTCTACAGAAAAGGACCCCAGAGCTAAAAGAGTGAATCAGTCATACAAGCAGATATCACCAAATCATTGGTCAAGATGGGATTATCACAGACTCATGTGGACTTGGAAGCAGACAGGAGAGGTACCAAAAAAACCACCCCAGACCCAGATCTAGAAGGCAAAGTCAGGGAAGGGAAAGAGTAGGACTGTTAGCTGTCACGCTGTCATGGCAAAGCAGCAGGGACCACACTGGTTTAGACACAGGGACACTTCCCTGCTGACATCCCACGTCTAACTTCTGCTTGACAGTTACTCCTTAGAGAAAATCACCAGTCCTGCTGAGGATGCAGGGCTCTGTCCTGCCGCAGCCGGAGTCTCCACTGCAGCTCCATGTCCTTCATCCAGGTCAAGACTTGCTCAGAGAAGTAGGCGCTCAGAGCTGGGCCATCGCTCAGCTATGTCTTCTTCCAAGGTAGGGAACCCCACCCCCAACAAGCCAGAAACCAAATCTCCTCAGTACTTAAGTGAATCCTATTTAAGCCAAAATCAATGTAATTAAAATAATAAGAAATAAAACCAAAGAGTACCCCCCACTGTACTTAATTATGGGCAAGATAAGGGGGGGAAAAAAAGACTAGTGTGGTTTATTGACAAGCCACAGTCCTGAAGTGGGACAGGGAGGGGAGGGAAAAAAAGGAAGAAAGGAGGGGCAGGAGGGAGGGAGGAGGGGAGGGGAGGAAGGCTAATTAAAACAAAGGTGTAGGCCCCGTGAAACGGCTGTCTCAGCAGATAAGCAGACTTACTGCACAAGCCAGGAGACCTTAGTTAAAGCCCCAGACCCACGTAAAGGTAGTAAGAGAAAACCAACTCTACACAGCTGTCCTCTGACCCCCACACACACCTCATTCATACACACACACATACACACACACACACACACACACACACACACACACACACACACACCCCTCATTCATACACACACACACACACACACATACACACACACACCCCACACACACACACACCCCTCATTCATACACACACACACACACCCCTCATTCATACACATACATACACACACATACACCTCATTCATACACATACATACACACACATACACCTCATTCATACACATACATACACACGCATACACCTCATTCATACACATACATATACACACCTCATTCATACACATACATACACACCTCATTCATATATACACACACCTCACTCATATATACACACACCTATACATACAATTTTTGTATTTAAAAAGCAAAGGTGTCATGACTGCTTTTTTAAAGGCCTTATAGGACAAAGGAGTCTGACGATGACCGAGCCTCTTGGGGCAGCTCACTCACCTGAGTGCTGGGTAGAAGATGAAGACTTGGGAAGCCCTAGTCACCAGGATCCTCTAGGTCCCTCTGGTTGTCTCCCCACACTTTCCCAAACAGAAGAGAGAACACAGAAAATACCACAGTCCAGTCTGCTGGACAAGGAATCTACCCAATGCAAGTGAACGCTTGTCACACGTCACCTTAAATCTTTTAAACCCCTTGGCACACCAAAAGGAGGGGGTTCACCCCATGATTATTGTTACCTGTTGTAACTGTTGTCATAAACAAGTATCCAGAGCCAGCTGGACTCAGCTCTGGAGAGAGACACCAGGTCCCCTTCCTGACTGATGCCCAAGCAGGTGACCACAGCCTGTCCCCAACCCTACTACCCATGCTGCATCCTCCTTTCTCCTGACAACTTCAGATCTTCTGAAATCGACTCTGTGTTCCTGGGGTTCTCACCTCTGTGGTCATCGTCAGGGCTCAGAGAACAGGGCAGAGGACAGAAACAGACATGAGCAGCCATTATCTGTGGTGTCAGCAGAGCAAGCCAAGGGTCTCCATACGGTTTTTCACGACTGATATTACCCTAACCACTTCACTTCCTCACCCCTCTGCTGCCCCAGGCCTTTTGTCTCTCAGACAACCCCATTCTGCACTTTGCAAATCCTCCCAGGACTTTAAAATCAAGATCCCAGGCTGGGGAGGCGCCTGAGTCAGTGAGGTGCTTGGCATGCATGCCTGAGGAGTTGAGCTCCATCCCAGCACCCACACACACACACACACACACACACACACACACACACACACACACACACACACACAATGGGCACGGTGACACACAGTATAATCCAGCACTGCCGAGGTAGAGACAGGGAGACCCCTGAAGCTCCCTAGCCAGTCTAGTCAAATTGGCAGGCCCCAGGTTCAATGAGAGACGCTGTCTCAAAAAATAAGATAAAGCTTGGCATGTGGTGCACACCTTTAATCCCAGCACTCAGGAGGCAGAGGAAGGTGGATCTCTGAGTCTGAGGCCACCCTGGTCTACAGAGTGAGTTCCAGGACAGCCAGAGCTACACAGAGAAACCCTGTCTTGAAAAAAACTAAAAAAAAAAAAAAAAAAAAAAAACCTAAAAAAAAAAAGCGGAGAGTGGTTGAGGGTACATAATATCTACTTTTGGCTTTCATACATAAGCACACAAAAGTGCACTCACACACCCACCCACATGTGCACTCGCATATGCACACACAATGGGAGCTGAGGATGTAGCTCAGTTCATAAAATGTTTGCCTGTCATCCACAAGGTCCTGGATCTAATTCTGAGCACCAAAAACAAAAACAAAAAACAAAAACAAAACCCAGGCATGGTAACACATGCCTGCAATGCCAGCACTCAGGAGGTGGAGGCAGGAGGATCAGAAGTTCAAATTCATCCTTGGTGACATAACGAGTTCGAGATTGGTCCACAGGACACCTTGTCAAAGAAAGGATGGAGGCAGAGAGAAAGGAGGGGCAGAGGGAGCCAAGATCCACAGCACAGTCAGTTTTATCCATACACGACTCGGGAACATGAAAGCATTGACAAGTGGCCACGGACACCTAAGACATGCACAAGTATTATACATAAGCTGCAGCTCTTCAGCAAAAGCCCACTTCCCACGACCAAATGGCATTTTCCTACTGCAGCTCTTGGAGATGAATTAAAGCGTAGATTTCACCAGAGTAAGTAACTTTTTATAGACGGGGGTGTCAGGGGGGGCACTTTCATTGCCTTTGAACCAACAGACTGTCTGGATGCAAATGAATGTGTCACCTTTGAGGTGATTGGCTGTCTGAGCTTCCTTGTCATAACAGAGCAGGCTCAGTGGATGTGACTCTTCTCCTCCTGAGTCTTGACGAGAAGATAAAAGACTAACATTGCCACTAGTGAATAATGAGATGCGGTCTTTATCAGTGAATGTAAGGTCACCACCAAGCCCAGCCAGCACCCCGTATACGTGTGTTCCATCCCCCGCTCTGTATAATGTGAGCCAGCATGCCAGGGGGAGCCAGAATGGCCCAGTGTATAAATTAGCCATTTTGAAAGGCTGCATTAAGTCTTTAGGGCCACCAGGGTACCTTTTAACGCATTGATGCCCCTCTTCAATAGACACTGGTCTCTTTTACATCTGACCTGCATTCTGATGACAATCTGATCGAAGGAATCGCTAGAAGGACTCTCCAAAGTATACCTGAGGCTGGGGTGGGGGGTAAGGGGGTGGGGTGGGGGATGGGGAATCTTGAATTGCAGCTGCCAACCAATCGTGGACCTGAGCTCCTCAGAGACACTTCTAAAATGAGCTGCTAGTTAAATAATGAGTCAGCCTCAGTTTCCACAGTGATTTCTCTGTGCCAAGTACACACAAGACTGACTCCTTCCAAAGCTGGAGGAAGGTGTGTTATACGTTAGGAAAGCTCTGTAAGAGGAGGAGGAGGAGGGAAACCAAGGAGTGTTCTAGAACACTGCACAAGATGATCATGGAGAATGAGGCTGTTGATGGGCAGTATTTAAAAGGTAAAAAAACGAGTTTGAAAATGGCTACTCACCCGTATAACCTCTGGCCTGGAACATGCAGATTTGATGTTCTTGTGGCTACTTGCGTTGTGGATGATTATGTTGTAACAGGGTCTCACATAGTCCAGGCTGGTCCCCAAACTCTCTGTGTAACCAAAGATAGCCTTAGGCTCCTGTGCCTCTGTTTCCCTAGTGCTGGGGTTACAAGAATGCACCACCATGTACAGTTCTAGACAGTGCTGGGGTGGAACTCGAGCTTTGTGTACACTAGGCAAGCAGTCCATCAGTGCCTCTGCAGAAGAGAAGACTGACCCAGAAGTAACAGAACAACACATTTTTATCTACTTTATATTTTATATTGTTTTCTCTCTTTTTGGTTTTTCGAGACAGGATTTCTCTGTATAGCCTTGGCTGTCCTGGAATTCACTCTGTAGACCAGGCTGGCCTTGAACTCAGAGATTCATCTGCTTCTGCCTCCTGAGTGCTGGGATTAAAGGCATATTTTTCTTGAAGCAAGGCCTCATATAGCCCAGGCTGGTTGGGCTGAGCTACACCCTGGGCCCTATGGCTGGCTCGGCAAAACCATGAACACATGCTCAGTGCCATGACACATGGGCTAAGTGACCCTGGTAAGCCCCTTCTCTATTCTACTGGATAAGAGAGCTTGAGAGACAGTGTTGGGGAAGGGCTGTGGCGGGGCTCTGTCCTCAAGAAAACTTCCAATGATTCAGGGGTGATTTGAAACTGCTCTATGTGGGGCTGGAGAGATGGCTCAGAGGTTAAGAGCACCAACTGCTCTTCCAGAGGTCCTGAGTTCAATTCCCAGCACCCACATGGTGGCTTGATCTGGCGCCCTCTTCTGTATATATAATAAATAAATAAATCTTAAAAAAAAAAAAAAAGAAACTGCTTTATGTGGCAAACTGTTCTTTCAGCAAGTTCTTGGGGGCGGGGGCGGGGGCAGCATCACAAGAAAACCTACAAGGTTTGTTTTCAGTGTACAATCACCCCATTAATTCACTCCACATGTTTTTACTGAAAACCTATATGCCAGGCATGGCTCTAGAATGTAAGCCCTGAGGAGCAGGCACAACAAAACGCTGCCTCCTGGGATCCTGCACCCAATGGGCAGACAGACAATAAACACAAGCTTGTGCTGTATGTTTGTAAGGAGGAGGCAGCTGCGAATCGGGTTCTGGGTCCTAACTGCTCAGGACCAGGTCAAAGACCATCTTTGTAGTCACTACACGCAGACACTTAAGGGGATTGTTTCACATTTGGCTGGCTCCATTTCCTCATCTGTAGACTGAGAACAGTACTGATAAAACCTAATTCACAGAATTGCTATTCAGATTAGTTCCATAGAACATCGTCAGCTCTACCATGCGTGTGTGTGTGTGTGTGTGTGTGTGTGTGTGTGTGTGTGTGTGTGTGTGCGCGCGCGCGTGCTTGTGTTCTGTTAACATAGACTCCCTCTTTATAATACAGGTAAAACAATGAGTTCAGAGGCACTTGCTGCTCTTGCCCAGAATCTGGGTTCAGTTCTCATCACCTACATGTGATGCTCTCTTCCGGCCTCCATAGGCACTAAACACACAGTACATATACAAACAAATAGGCACACACAGACATATAAATAAAAAGAAAGTTTTTAAAAATTTAAAGTTCGGCCGGGCAGTGGTGGTGCACACCATTAATCCCAGCACTCGGGAGGCAGACCTCTGTGAGTTCTAGGCCAGCCTGGTCTACAGAGTGAGTTCCGGGACAGCTAGGACTGTTGCACAGAGAAACCTTGTCTCAAAAAAATCAAAAGAAAAAAATGTAAAGTTCATGATACAGGGTCATGCTTAGAATGTGACAAGAGAGCAAGAACTGAAGTGACTCGTAAACGAGGGAGAAGAACAGCAGGAGACATGATTAGTGAGGGCCTGGGCTGGGGCTTCCTGGCCTCGAGATGTGGCGGGGACCCTGGGCACTACTCAAATAACAAGACGTCAGTGGAGAGTAACAAGACTTGTATTTTCATTTCTTTGTTGGGCAGAAGTTCCTCGGAAACAAAAAATAGAATTGCCATATAACCCAGCAATTCCACTTGAAGATAGGTCCACAACTGAAAGTTGAATTTGGAGAGACATTTGTGTCCCCATGTTCACAGTGTTCAAAACTGACAAAAAAAACTTCAGCCTAAATCTCAACACCCAAATGGATGGAAACATGTATAGCCATGTAAAGGAATATTATGCAGCCTTACAAAGCAGGGCGGTTCTGATACGGGTACCACACGGATGGACCTTGAGGGCATTATGCTAAGTAAAACAAAGCAACTGGGTTTCACTTGTAACTAGAAGAGTCACAGGCATGGGAACAGAAAGCAGATTGGGAATTACCAGGAACTAGGTGGACAGCTCTGGGCTCATGGGTCCCGACTTACAATATTCTAAGATGGAGAGTTCTGAAGGTGTGCTCCAAAACATTCTGAATATTCTTCCGAGTGCTAAACTAGACACTTCAAAGTAGTTAACATGACTAGTTCTTTGCATATTTTACCACTTTTTTTTTAAAGATTTATTTATTTATTATGTGTACAGTGTTCTGTCTGCATGTGTCCTTGCAGGCCAGAAGAGGGCACCAGATCCCATTACAGATGGTTGTGAATCACCATGTGGTTGCTGGGAATTGAACTCAGGACCTCTGGAAGATCAGTCAGTGCTCTTAACCTCTAAGCCATCTCTCCAGCCCCTTACCACTGTTGCTAGAGTTTTCCTGCCTGGCCCACAGTCAGGATAAATCTCTCTCACCCGCCAGTCCCAAGCCGCTTAAACCCGATCAAATAAACACAGAGACTTATATTGGTTACAAACTGTATGGCCGTGGCAGGCTTCTTGCTAACTGTTCTTACAGCTTAAATTAATCTATACCTTGCCACGTGGCTTGTGGCTTACCGGTACTTTACATCTTCCTTATCCTGATGGCGGCTGGCAGTGTCTCCCCCTCCCAGCTTCCTGTTCTCTCCATTCTCTTCTCTGTTAGTCCCACCTATACTTCCTGCCTGGCCACTGCAATCAGTGATTTATTCATTGACCAATCAGCAACACATTTGACATACAGACCATCTCACAGCATACCACAACTTTTTAAAGTTAATATTAGGATTTTTAAGATTCTCTCTCTCTGTCTCTCTCTGTCTGTCTCTCTCTCTGTCTCTGTCTCTCTCTCTCTCTCTCTCTCTCTCTCTCTCTCTCTCTGTATCTCTCTCTCTCTGTCTCTCTCTCTCTCTGTCTCTCTCTCTCTGTGTGTGTGTGTGTGTGTGTGTCTGTCTGTCTGTCTGTCTGTCCTTCTGTCTCTCTCTCATTTTTTGAATCAGGTTTTGACTATGCAGCCCATACTAACTTTGAAGTCAATATGTAGTAACTCAGGCTCTTTTTGAACTTTCAATCCTCCTGCCTCAGCTTCCAACTGCTGGGATTGTAGAGTGTGTGCCATCACACACAAGGTCACATGGTCTTTTCACTCAGAATCTCTAGCAAAGTATCCAGACTTCATCCAAATAACTTTCAGCCTGCCAGAAATTCAAAGTCTTCTTGACGGGTGGTGGGAAAGCTCAGTACTCCGTCGTGTAATAGTCATGGGCCATAGAATTCAGTGAGAAAAAACTGCTTGAACACCGGAGGACGGGTCCTTTATGGGCCTCCTTTGGCCACTAGCCATACAAGGGAATATTACAGCAGTCCAGGGAGAGATAACAAGCCTCAGACCTGGAGAGTGGAGCTTGGATGATGGGCATGGTCCACTTGGAATCCATTTTGAAAGCAGGATCAGTAATATCCGCTGAAGGATCAGATGTGGGCTAAGAGCAAGAAAGGTGTCAAGGATGGCTCTGAAGTTTTGGCCAAGGCCATTGAATGAGTCAGGCATCAGGCATCAAATTACCGTCAAGAACAGGAGACTTGGAGCCCGATGACCAACTCTTTCTTATTTTTTCACTCGGCATTCTCTTGAAACTCAGCCTCTCAGGACTTCTGTTTCCTGACCTAGAAGATGAGATCAATGAGACCAGCTTGCCCCACCTTGTAAAGTCAAAGCAGAATCGTGATGTCACAGCAGCTGTGTGGAGTTCATCACCTACGCCCATAGCTGTGGGAAAACCACCCACCTTGCAATCCTGAAATGTTTTTCCCATCATGGGCCCATGTGAGACTGGCTGAGATGACTTAGCCAAGTCATTTCACCTCACTTTGTCTGTGTCTTCATCTGTGAAGGCAGCCCATAATAAGTTGTCTGCCTGTCCCAGACATGTTTGTGGAACTCGACCACCAAGAACGAACACATTCTTGAAAAGACATATTGCATGTCAGATTAAAGGTATCATTATTGTATCAGCAATTACGAACCCAACATCTAGGCAAGGGGAGGAACACTAAGAACAGGATGGGGCCCATTAGAATCCACCCTTTCTGGAGAGCCCCAGGGGTTCCAGCTGGGCTTGGGAACAGCTTGGAGGGACTCCGTTGATAGCTGCTATGAAACACAACCCTTTCTTTTTCGAGTCAGTCATTCACAGGGCACAAGATCCGGTGAGTTATGCAGATTCAAACTTATATTTGCAGACTCAGAGAGGAAATGTTTTGTTGTTGGATTTATTTATTTATTTATGCACTAGGACCCTAAAGGGTAAAACGCAGCCACTACATCACGGAAGGAAAGAAACAGCAGGCACCAAGCAACCTGGGTCCTGGCGGGGCTCTGAAATCCAGGGCATGGATGGTCAGACAAGAACTCCAGCATCCCGCTGGCCAGAGAGAGCCTTTGGGTCTTAAGGTCTCATCTGAAAGACACCCACACACTAAACAGCCTGGTATTCAATTTATTCTCTGCAGAAGAATAAAAGAATCACGTAATGCTTGCGTGGATGTGAACTTGGGTTCTAAGAGCGGGGAGAGCCACCGCTTAAACACTCAACCACCCCCTTCAGGCAGAAGAGCCCACATACACTAAAGGCAGAAACAGCCCTCGCTTTCAAGAGTGCGTCTGTTTTCATTATCATTTAAGGCTGCAGTCAGTGTTGAACAATAACAAGAAACAGGCACGGGGGAGGGGTGATGCACCCAAATCCCAGGCATACACAATAAAAATGCTATTATGGACTTTTGTGAATATAAATAGTTTTTTAAAATGAGGCTGCTAAGACTGGCATCTTAGATGTTACCTGGAAAAGAGTCCAGCTACATATTCCTGCATTTGCACTGGTCACCAGGTTCGGCTGGATACTGCAAATTGAGCGGGCTAATTCTTTTGCAATGAATATCAAATGCAGTCTGGATGTGGGGCTAAGAAAGGAGATGTGGATTGAAGTGAAGGGCAGATAAAGGGCAGAGGAAAGGGGCTCAGAGCGCCATGAGGGAAAATTGAAGAGGACAAAAGAGTAAGTTTAATAAAATGGAGCCAGAACTGTTTCCCAGGAACCCTGTCAAACTGGCTGCCCTTCATTGGACCTAAAGGTGTTCAGCTGCCTGGCTAGCTCAGTCTGTAAAACATGGGACTCTTAATCCCAGTGTTGTGGGTTCAAGCCACACTCGGTGTCTGCTTTTGACTGGGTGAGCTTATGCATTCAACTCAAATTCATGGGGTTGGATAGTTCGCTCAGAGGTTAAGAGTACGTGTTGTTTCAAAGGTCTCAGGTTCGATTCCCAGCACCCACTTAGAAGCTCACCACCTCCTTGGGCACCAGGCACACATGTGGCAAAAGACCTACATATAAGCAAACTACTCATACACATAAAGTAATAAAAAAAAATCTAAAAGAAATTTTTTAATTGTTTTCCAGCCTGGTCTACAGAGCAAGTTCCAGAACAGCCAGGGCTACACAGAGAAACCCTGTGTCAAAAAACAAAACAAAACAAAATTTTTTTAAGAGGATCTTCATAGGATGGTCTTATCCACAATCCTGGTTGCCTGGGGCACCAATTTCCTTTCCCTTCATTCTAGTGAAAGAATTGCAATAATTAATGTGTACTCAACAGAAACAGAATAATTTCAGCGCCAGTGCTTCCCTCAAGACTGTTAATCACATCACATGCCCATGAGCTCCGACTTGCTAAGGGGTCCCATGGAAAAGAGGTACTCCACTGTGGAGGCCAAAGGTCCACAGAGCACTGTAAACCAAGCCTACAGAGGGACTTTGTGAAGTGGAGGGCGTAAATACGGGATGCAGGAGCCAGAACAGGTTGAGGATCCACTGAGCTGCCTCAGTGGATAAGGGTACCTGCAGCCAAGACTGAGGACCTGAGTTCAATCACCAGAACCCACGTGGTGGAAGGAGGGATCCAACTCTCAAAAAATTGTCCCCTGATAGCTACACGTGTATGTATGTGTTCCACACCCCAAAATAAGTAAACATAAAAACTTTTTAAAAAGTAGATTGGACTTTTGAGTCAGCCCAAGGGTGGAAACAAGGGCTAGAATAACCTCTCTGCATCTTTCAAATCATCAAGGCTCAAAACACCTAGGCTAGGGTGTGAGGTGGGTGGTCTTGGGTCCCCGAGACCAGTGACTTGCGGTTGGAGGAGGTATGGGAGAACTGGAAATCTGCCGAGGAGTTTTACCATCTTCTTCGGTCCTTTCACCTACTGGCACCAGGTCCTCAGGGTCTGAATAAGAGATGAATAGTGAGAACCAGGGGCCCCTGAGGGCCTCAGAGTAGGACTCAAACCAATCTTCTCTTCTTACCTTGACTATTTTGGCCATTGGTACTACCACTGTCCAAATGTGTGGCTCCAAATGCAGAGCCATTCCCCACTGTGTTCAGGGCTTTGTATATGGTAGACAAGCACTCTACCAGTTGAACTACATCCCCAGCAACTTGTTTGGGGTTTTTTTGTTTTTTGTTTTTTGTTTTTTTAATTTTACAGGACTTTGAGAGTTTGGCTGGTGTCTTAGAGTTTCTATTGCTGTGACAAAACACCATAACCAAAAGCAACTTGGGGAGAAAAGAGGTTATTTTATCTGACATCCTACAGTTCATCATCCAGAGAAGCCAGGCCAGGAACTCAAGACAGGAACCTGGAGGCAGGAACGGATGCAGAGGCCATGGAGGAGTGTTTCTTGTTGGCTTACTCTGCATGACTTGCTCATCTTGTCTTTTTTTGTTTTTGTTTTTGTTTTCTCTCCTGGAGACATGATTTCTCTAGGTAATCTGTAAACTTGACTGTCCTGGAACTCACTCTGTAGCTCTGCCTACCTCTGCCTCCTAAGTGCTGGGATTAAAGGCCTGTGCCACCATGCCCAGCTGTTGCTTTCTTATGCCAACCAGGACCACCTGCTCAGGGATAGCACTACCCACAATGGACTGGGCCCTCGTGCATCAATCACTAACTAAGAAAATGCCCTACAGGGTTGCCCACACGGGTATTTTTCTCAATTGTTGCTCCCTCTTCTCAGATAACTGGTTTGTGTCAATTTGGCAAGACAAAACAAAAACAAAAACAACCAGGACACCTGGTGTCTTAGGGGAGAGTCTGGGCTTTGAGTCATGCTGGGATTGTTAAGACAGTGCAGGTGATTTGGCTATGAGTCTTCTGGGGACCAAAGGAAGAACGTTATGGTTCAAACAAGGAATTTCCTCAATACGTTCAGATATTGTCTAGCTTTAATAACAACTGGTGAGCTTTGGAGAAGCTTAGGCTCCTGAGGACTCTGACCTAACCAATGCATTAGTACCTTGATGGGTTCATAACACAGTGGCACTATCGAAAGAGGAAGGACAGTCAGAAGTCAGGCCTGCTTGGAGAAAGGACCGGGGGTGTGTCCTTCAGGGTCTAGCTCTTGCCTTGGCCCCTTCCCATAGTCCCCTTTTCTTTGCTTCCTGGCTGCCATGATGTGATTGATAGCCCCCAAACTGTAAGCCAATGTAAATCTTTCTTTTCCTCCAGATAAATGTTGAAGTATACTTTCTAGGGTTCTCCACTGCCCAGGACAAACCCCAGACTTGGTGTCCTGACAGCAGAGACTCCCAGTCCTGCCTTGAACTTCCTGACCTGCCTTCTGTCACAGCCCAAGCCATGTTCCAGAGTTCGACTGCCGTGTGACTGCTAGTGTTTCTTCTCTACTCCGCCTAGACTCATGTCAGCCATGACCTCTACTGCTCAGCCACCAGGCACCTAAAATGCTGTTTCTCATGTAAGTATACAGACGGACTTAGAGGCCCTGCCATAGACAGGGAGTTACTTCTCCCGACATGCAACCCCTTGTCTACCTTACATAACATGACGCCACTGCTGAACATCTCTTCTCTGGGCGTCCATGTACTCATTAAGCTGAAAGCTCTTTCATGTGCAGGCATATGTGCAGCTATGCATGTATGTGGGCACGTATGTATGCCTGAGGAGACTAGAGGTCAATTTCAAGAATCTTCCTCCTATTGCTCTCCACCATATTCTTTGAGACAGGGTCTCTCATTGCATTGGAAACTTGCTGTTTCAGAGACTGGCTGGACAGTAAGACCTTGGGATCTACTTGTCACCATGTCCTGAACCAGTGCTGGGGTGACAGGTATGTGCCACCATGCTTGGCTTTTATTTGTGTTCCTGGGATCCTAACTCAGATCCTTAAAAATGCATGGTGTCTTAGAGTTTCTATTGCTGTGAAGAGACACCATGACCGTGGCAACTCTTATAAAGGAAAACATTTAATTAGGGTGGCTCACTTGCAAATCAGAAGTTCAGTCCATTATCATCATGGCGGGGAGCATGGCAGCGTGCAGGCAGACATGGTGCTGGCTACATCTTGATCAAAAGACAACAGGAAATGGTCTCAGTCACTGGACAGTATCTTGATCATAGGAAACCTCAAAGCCCGCCCCAACAGTGACACACTTCCTCCAACAAAGCCATACCTACTCCAACAAAGCCACACCTCCTAGTAGTGCCACTCCCTATGAGTTTATGGGGGCCAATTACTTCAAACTACCACACATGGCAAGCACTTAACTGATGGATCCATTCCCCTATCCCACTTGATAATTGAGTGTGTCCTAGCCTAGAGTCCTCAACAGTTTTCCAGTTAGGGGAAAGTCTGGAGAAAAAAAATAACATAGTTTTAAAATGTTTTATACATTTATTTTGGGGGTACAGAGTACACCACGGCACATATGTAGAGGTCAGAGGACAACTTGCAGGGTCTGTTCTCTCCTTCACCACATGGTTCCCAGGGAATTGAACTTGGATGGCCAAACTTGTTCACGACAGATTTTACCTGCTAAACTGTATCTCTGGCCCATGCATATTTTGTTTTTAAAGACAGTCTCTTAACCCCAGGTCTTGAAGTTACTATGTAGCCAATTCTTGTCCTCCTGTCTCCGCCTCTCAAGAGCTGGGTTTAGAGGAATGTACCACCAGGCTAGGCCAAGCCAAAAACATTCTTCGCTGACTTCTGAAAAGCCTCCAGACTCAGTTCAGACAGCTTTCTCTAAACCCAAGGCAAGCAAGTGTTCTGTGACCTCTGACCTCCACCACTCAACTCAGATTAAAAATTCAAGAGCTTCACTAGAAACACCTGCCACAGGTCACCCCAGCAAGGAAATTTTGCAAAGTCGCCAGCTTCTAACTCAATAAGGTTGAGGGTAACTTTGGCTCATGACATGAATCCCTACCACTGGGACTATGACAGTTTCCAGCCCTAATGAAGTAGAAGCATGTCCACAGCCCCACAAGGACACACACACACATCCCTGCACACAGACAGAGACAACTTAATAAGCCCTGGCGGGATTTTGTAACGTCTCTCCCCACTAGTCCGTGGAATTGAATTCCTGCTCTAAGTGCATACGTGGATATGAGTTTTCCATTACTTGTTTAGGTAGACTGTAAAACATTACTGTTAGAGGAGCCACCGATTTATGAACGGGTTGCAGGCTTCAGGTTCGTTTGTGAGCTATTTGAAACTGTGAATGTGTTTTTCCCTGGAACTGAGAGTATTTAGGTCTCCGAACAGGAGCCCATTTAACCCACAAAATGCCGTACTCTAATGCAAAGAAGCAATCTTCGTTTTCTTCATGCGGGTGTGCGAAGTCTGCTCAAAGGCCGTCAGGGGCCAAGGTGCAGTGCAAAGGCAGAAGCGTGGGGTGGCATGGGAAAGGAAAACCACAGACACTGTGCTGCATGCAGCCCTTTCAAAGGGACTGCCACCCTCCGGTCTAGTAGATGGCTGCCACAGGACACAACAGGCCTAATGTACCAATCAGGTGAAAGCCAAAACCCAAATTTGTAAGTAAAAAGTGTTAGGGACTAATTGCAAAAATTTTTCAACACAATGCTGATGAAACAAGACACATCACCCATGCTCAGGGAGGTTCCTGGTTGGGAAAGAAAAGTATTTTTATTTCGACAAGTCAACCCCAGAGAAGTGTTTCTTCACTTCTGGGGAGGTGGGTGGCTCATCCTGGGCACTCATCCCAGGACAAGGCTCTTCTTTGCATAGAGAAGCTTCATGTGTCTGTGGCTGACAATAACAGCATTGTCTGAGGCTGACAAAGGGCATTCGGCTCTGAAGAAGTGATCCCCTTCTGGCACCCAACTGACTTTGAGGACATAACTTCAAATGTATGGAGGCTAGGGGTTAAAGTTGAGTGTCTTCTTCAGTCTCTCTCCACCTTAGTTTTTAAAATCATTTTTAGATTATTTATTTTTATGAGTATGAGTATTTTGCCTGCATGTATGTATGTGTACGATGTACATGCCTGGTGCCTGAGGAGGTCAGAAGAAGGCATCAGATTTCCTGGAACGGGAGGCACGTTGATTGTGGGCCACTAGGTGGGCGTTGGGAACCCCCAGGTCCTCTGCAAGAGCATCAAGTGCTCTTAACTGCTGAGCCATCTCTCTGGCCCACCCTTGTTGGTGTTTGGTTTTGCTCTTTTGGGGGGCCCATCACTCAGCTCCCAAATAAATGCACACATGGGGGCTTATTCTTAATTATAAATGCCTGACTTTAGCTTGGCTTGATTCTTGCCAGCTTTTCTTAACTTTAAATTATCCCCTCTATCTTTTTCCTCTGGGCTTTTCCCATTCTCTAACTTCTGTAAATCTTACTCCTACTCCGTGGCTTGCTGTGTAGCTGGGTGGCTGGCCCCTGGAGTCCTCCTCCTCCTCTAGCTACTTCTTTTTCCTCCCAGATTTCTCCTTCTATATATCCTCTCTGCCTGCCAGCCCCATCTATGTCTCTCTCCTGCCTCACTATTGGCCGTTCACCTCTTCATTAGACCATCAGATGTTTTAGACAGGCAAAGTATCACAGCTTCACAGAGTTAAACAAATGCAATATAAACAAAAGTAACACACCCCTCCACACACACACTTTATTTTTTGAGGCAAGGTCTCTCACTGGACCAGGAGCTCACTAATTTTGCTAGAATGGATGGCCAGCAATCCCCAGGGACCCTGTCTCTGTCTTCCCAGTATTGAGATTTCAGGTGTGCCGGAGATCTGAACTCAAACCTTCACGTTTATGTGGCCGACACTTTACCAACTAAGCTCCTCCAAAGTCCCCTCACTACTTCCTGGTGTGCACAGTCAGGCTTGGCGGGTTGGTAGAAGATGGGGCACGCTCGTGTTTTGCTTTTGTTTAGTGTCAGTTTTCATTCTTGCTTTGCTGTTATTGTTCTGTGGTTTCTGATTTGTTGTTGGGAGGGGTTTTTTCAAATGGGGTCTACAGCCTGGGCTGTCTGACACATAAGACCTTCCCGCCTCTGCCTCCTGAATGCTAGACTCACAGGCACGTGCCACCACGCCCAGCTCTGTTTTATCTGATTATAAATGTAATATGGGTTCGCTATAGCAAATTTACAATTCCCCCAAAAGTAATCACTGTTGTTAATGACTTCTTTTTTCATTTCTGTTTTGTTTTGTTTTTCAAGACAGGGTTTCTCTATGTAGCCCTGGCTGTCCTTGAATTCACTGAAGACCAGGCTGGTCTCGGACTCACAGAGACCCACTTGCTTCTGCCTTCTGAGTGCTGGGATTAAAGGAATGTACCACCACCAACAGGCTACCTTTTTTTTTTTTTTTACACTGTCCTTATATAACCACAGTGGATTAAATGATACCTCATGCATATGTGTCCCTATCCTTATCTCTGGAGTCTGTGAACATGTCCTCATTTAAGCAAAGGTCTTGGCAGATACATTCAACGATGTTGAGATGAAGCGATTATGCTCGGTTTTCCAGACAGGTTCATATTGCTAGGAGAATGTCTTTACAAAAGACAGACATAGGAGCTGGCGAGATGCTCGGTGGGTAAAGAACACTTGCCGCACAAGCCTGAGGACCTGAGTTCAGATCCCGAGCACCCATGTAGAAGCTGAGTACAGAACAATGCCTGTAAACCTAGCCCGAAGGGGAGGGGCAGACAGTAGAACAGGAACACTGCATACCCAGGTTGTTTAGGTTTTTACATGGGGTCTGGGGATCGAACTCAAGTCCTTGTGTTTGCAAGGCAAGCTCTTTCCAACTAAGCCATCTCCTCAGCCCTCAGTAGCAGAATTCTGAATTGTACTAAGAGGTGTCTTTGGAACCCTTGGTCTTTCTGGGAGCCCCAAGGACGAGCTCCATCTTTCCATTACGTCGTCGTTCACACCTCATCCTTTTCAGTTGTCAGTAGAGTTTCCCTGAAGTCTGTTTGGCCTCGAGGAGAGGTGAGGTCTGAAGTGCTTCCGGTTTTGGGAAGTGCTTCCAGTGTTGGGAGAGAGACCCAGACATTCCTACTCCACTCCTCAACAGAACCGCTTCTGACCATTGCCCATTCCATCTTCCTGGAGCCTTTGGAGAGAGTCCTGCCAGACTTCAGATTTCTGGCCTCCAGAACCATGACAGAATAAATCTGTGTGTTCCCAGGTTTGTGGAATCCATGACAGAATAAATCTGTGTGTTCCCAGGTTTGTGGAATTTGACACAGCAGTCCTAAGAAACAAATCCAAACACACACACACACAAACATCTGTGACAGTCAGCTTCTCCTCACTGTGACAAGCCCCAAGAGAACTGGCTCATAGCAAAGAGTGATTTGGGCTCCTGGTTCAGTCCATGGCTGGTTGACCCCATGTTTCTGGCCTGAGGTGAAGCAGAAGGCTGTGATGTAAGGGAGCAGATTGGGGTCTATGGTCACTTTCCTGCAGTTGTGATCAAATACACACAAAGGCAACCTAAGGGAGAGAGGGTTTGTTTGAGCTCACAGATAGTTCACAGGAGATCGTCCTTCACGGCACGGAAGTCACAGTGGCGAGGGCATGAGGTTGCTGGTCACATTGCATTTGCAGTCAGGAAGCAGGGGGCGATAAATGATGATGTTCAGATCACCTCTTTTTTTCTTTTTTTTTTTTTTTTTTTTTTTTGGTTTTTCGAGACAGGGTTTCTCTGTATAGCTTTGCGCCTTTCCTGGGACTCACTTGGTAGCCCAGGCTGGCCTCGAACTCACAGAGATCCGCCTGCCTCTGCCTCCCGAGTGCTGGGATTAAAGGCGTGCACCACCACCGCCTGGCCAGATCACCTCTTTTTATTCAGTCCAGGACTCTACTCCACAAAATGGCGGTGCCCAGAGTTAAGGCAGGCTCATCTCAGTTAACCTAATCTACACAGTCCCTTGCAGACACGCCAAAGGCTTGTCCCCTGGGTGATTCTAGAGCCTAGCAAGCGGACAACGAAATTAACTATCACAGATTAATCCATTCCCTCATTGCATGGCCTCCTTTTAACCTTCTAAAAGTATTTTTGTGAGCTGAGCATGGTGGCACACACCTTTAATTCCAGCACTTGGGAGGCAGAGGCAGGCAGAGCTCTGTGAGTTTGAGGCCAGCCTGGTCTACAGAGTGAGTTCCAGGACAGCCAGGGCTACACAGAGAATCCAGTCTTGAAAAACCAAAAAAAAAAAAAAATTTTTTGCTTTGTGTTTGTGTTGATGCCGCCTGTGTGGGTGCTCAGAAGGGACAGAAGGTATTGGATCTCCTGGAGCTGGAGTTACAGGAAGCTTCTGGCTCCCCGAAGTGGGTGCTGAGAACTGAACTCCACTCCTCTGGAAGAGCAGTACGTGCTCTTGGCCTCTGAGCCATCTCTCCAGGCCCACTTGGTTCTTTTTTAAGTTAACTATTTCGTGAGGACACATCTAAACGTGAAGATCGGCCCTTCCCTTCTTAGTGAGTTCAGCATATTCCATGAGTATTCTCCGTCATTGTTTCCATGGATTCCAAATGTACTGGAGTAGTAACCTTGCAATGATAAGCTGGAGTTGGCCCTCTTCCCTTGGCCACAGTTGAAGTCATTGTGTATGTGTGGATAGACATATATACATATACATATACATATGTATATACACATATAGATCTATTTAAGGTGTTGATACTTCTCCACCACGTCTGGCTTTCCACTTTCTGCCCTTGGAATTGAGTGTGACTGGGTGACTGCTTTGACTAGTGATGTATGGAAAGAAGTCCCTGGTGCCCTTCAGACTGCAAGTGTTAGGAACTAGTATCCAACCTGCTTCATTCTTTCCCCCTGAAATACAGAAGGACTTCCGTCAGCCTCCTGTCCTGTGAGTGTGACGGCTGGACTAAAGGATGCTAAAGGGACAGGTGCTTTGACTGAGGAATCTACCTGTGCTGTTGAGTCCACAAAAATCTGAAGAGTTTTGTTACTATAGCATATCCTGGACAACCAACCATAATGAATTCTAATATATAATACATATCTCATATACACATGTTCCTATTCTTTTAAAATAGGAGAAATTACCATTTTCCAAAGCAATTACATTCATACATATATTTCCAATAGAAAATAGCATGGTGGTACACGCCCGTAAGCTCAGTACTCTGGAGGTAGGGGCAGGAAGATCACAAGTTCAAGGCCAGCTTGGGCTGCATAGCAGGTTCTAAGCCAGTCAGGGTGATATAGCAAAGGATTTTCTCAAAAATGAAATATTCTTATGTCGAATAGAATTCAAAGTATGTCCACCCCCAAAGAGTCACAAAAATGCTTATACTAGTATTATGAATAATAGTGGAAATGTGGGATTTTTCCAAACATCCATCAGCTGATAAATGAATAAAGCATGATTTATCCATAAAATGAAATGCTATTCAACAACTTTTAAAAATGAAATTGGTGACATACACTTTGACATGGATAGACCTTAAAAACATTACCCTAGGAGTTGAGTGTGTGGCTTAGTGGCCGAGTGCTTGCCTAGAATGCACAAGACCCTGGGTTTAACAGCCAGCTCTGAAGAAAAGGAAAATATTATACTAAGTGAAAAAAGGGCAGTCACCCAGAAATGTATACTTCTGCTTTTATAAAATGTCCAGAATATGCCAGTTATAAAGACACAAAGTAAGATTCTGGGTTGCTTGGGTAGAAAGGGGAGTGAGGGTGGTAGCTCAAAGAACAGGGCTGGAGGGACAGCTCAGCAGTTCCCAGCACTTGCTGCTTGCCCAGAGGAGCCAGGTTCAGGTGCCGATACCCACACTGGGCAGCTCACAACAAAGTGGCAGGGGCTTTGACACTCACACCTCACTTCCTCACACACTGTGCATACAGATAAGGAGGCCCACACACATATGCACATAAATAAAAATAATTTTTTGAAAGAATGGGATTTCTTTTTGATATGATCAAAATGTGTTGAACTTGCCTGTAGCTAATTTATTTACAAAGAATTGAGCATATCTGTTAATAAAATAACCCATGAATTATATATATATATACTTTATAAGTATGTTTATAATTGAACAGGTAATTTAAAAGGTATATAATAAATAGTTATTTGTGTTATATTTAGTTGAATATATTTACAATTATATGCATTTTTATTTCATTCCATTTGGGTTTTGGGGATTGAACCCAGGGCCTTGGACATGCTAAGCAAGTGGTCTACCACTGAGCTACACCCCCACCTCCAAACTGTACCTCTGAAGGGGGCACTGTGTGGTCCATGAGCTTTATCCATAAAGCTGCTAACAAATTAAATAACTATGGAAAGGAAGCTTAAGTATTCTGAGTGGTTAGTTGTGGCCTGTTTGATGTTAATCCACTATATCTTATTTAGTTGGTTTTCCTCTTTAAGTTTCACCCAGAAAATGGATGTAATGGGCCATGGACAGGAAACCTCATGTTATCAGGATCATAAATCTCATGTCAGTGTTAGCCGATAAGTAGGGTGTGTGTGTTGCTGTTAAGTCTGCATCCGATAATGAAGAGGCCGGCTCCAGGTTATTGTCTACAGTTTCGTATACATTGAAATAACAGCACTTCCGAGGCTAAAGCCTACCCCTTCCCTCTGGCTTCTGCCTCTGGATCAGGGATTGGTAGGTGCTGAGAGCTTCAGAGAAAGGGAAAGCTGTTCTGTGATAACTGTACTGCCTCAAGCTAATCAAAGAACCGTGTGTGTGTGTGTGTGTGTGTGTGTGTGTGTGTGTGTGTGTGTGTGTGTAGAACTGGATATGCCTTCCAGTCACAAAAGGTAAGGCCTTGAAGGCTAAATGGTAAAGAGGACAAGATTCTTGTGGTTTATAAGATCTAAGCTGTTTCTCTAATGGACAAAAGAGTGTTTTTAATGATATCTCTTGAAGTGTGTGGGGGGGGGACGATGAGAAACCCCCCCCCCCGTTTCCTTCCACCCAAATGCTGCAGTCAGAGATGGGCCCTTCCCGGTCTGTCTGCCCATCGCAGCCCGAGTGGAGGGTGCGCTGCACATGCCCCAGATGTCCACTCTGTTAGGCTTGATCACCGAAGGCAGGTGAAGGAGCGCTCGGAGGATGCTAACGTCTTACAAGTCTGATCTTCAAGAGATGCCAGATGTCCTTTCACCTGTCACAGGGATTCGAAGAGTGGATCCTCATCTGATACAGCGATGCAGCTGCTCTACTTTGTGAGGAACTGTTGGGCAAAACAATAAAATGTGGCCTTGCTCCCAGATTGGGGGGGGGGGGGGGTAGCTCAGTCCAAGGCTCCAGAGTGAAGTCTGGGGCCCAGGGTGACTCAGCTCTGAAGATGTGCAAACTTTGTTCACTGGGTCATCTCACTAGAAAGAGATTTTGAAAAATCATTTTGGTAGATAGACAGAAGCCTAAAATAATCCAAGATTCCTGACCCTTTGGTGCAGACACATTTTATCCCAGTTACTTGCTAAAATGAGAGTCTTGGTGCTGGTAGGAAAGGCCATTTAAACAAAATTTAGATTCCATATGGTGGCATATGGCTTTAACCCCAGTGCTCAGGAGGCTGAAGTAGGTGGATCTCTGGGAGTTCAAGGCCACCCCAAACTATATAGAGAGACCTCATCTCAGAATAAACAAACAAAAAGTTAAGATTTTTTTGTAGAATATTATTTTAAGATTTGTTTATGCTGTGGGACATTTATTTAATGATGCAAAGATGTGTTGTGTTCTTTTATGTTGCATTTGTTTAACTCTGTGAAGCTGTGTTACTTCGCTGTCTAAAACACCTGATGATCTAATAAAGAGCTGAATGGCCAATAGTGAGGCAGGAGAAAGGACAGGTGGGGCTGGCAGGCAGAGAGAAGAAATAGAAGGAGAAAAAGTAAGCAAGAGAGAAGGAGGAACAAGATAACAAGGAGGGGGGGGATATCAGGGGCCGGCCAGCCACCCAGCCACCCAGCCACCCAGCCAGACATGGAGTAAAAAGGAAAGAAAAGATATTCAGAAATAGAGAAAGGTAAAAGCCCAGAGGCAAAAGATAAATGGAATAATTTAAGTTAAGAAAAGCTGGCTAGAAACAAGCCAAGCAAAGGCTGGGCATTCATAAGAAGAAATGAGACTCCGTGTGTGTATTTATTTGGTAGCTGAATGGCAGGCCCCAAAAGAGCAAAGAGCAAAAGAGTAAAAAACACCAACAACAAAGAATAACTGCCATCTTAAGTTTCAATCCATATTCTCTTGCTTTATAACCAAATAGAAAAGTATTCTTTGGTGTACCTTTAGTTTGCTTATTAAACAATGAAAATAAGTAGAAGTTTCTCTCTCTAATTTATCCCAAACCTGGAGATCCAGGATCATGGCCAAGCAGTCCTTGTTTCCTTTTCCATTTCCCTATAAACCTTCTGTTGTATTTATATTGATTTCCGAACTCTTAGGCTATGGACACAGATGTAAAATCGGATTTGTTCACTCTAGCTCAGACATACACAGAAACAAGACAGAATAAACAGGAAAACCCTGTGTGATGAATTTACCCAGTGAAATAATTATTTATTGTGGCCTGCTGAAACATTCCTACAAGATGGGTGAAAACTTAATCTCATCAAAGAAAATCAATCAAAAAAATTAAACCACAACAGCAATGTTTCTATTTTTGAACTATAATTGGCAAGCCAGGTGACTGAATTTTCTTCTACTCTGCCTCAAGACTCAGGATTTTCTTTTCTTTTTCTGTGTTAATCAATGAAGCTTAGCTTCTAATTAATGTTGAAGTATCTGGACCTTTAAGCCCCTTGAATAAAAGTATTGTTAAAATACTAACCTGTTTGTTTGTTTCTTTTTGTCTCCAGTAATTGGATACATTTTAACAGCGGTATGTGAAAAGTCAAGGTTTTCACTATCAGATATTCCCATGGAAGGGACTAGGTGAGGTACTTAATTTGAAAAAGAAAAAAAAAGGGGGGGGGAAATCAATGAAACAGCACCTCCTAGTGGTAGAACACCAGAGTTACCAGTAGATTAATAGTACAGTCAAAATCGGGCTGAGACAGTTCTAAGTATAAAATCATTACATTGGAGCAAGTTAGCAGAACACCTCAGGATAATATTGGGGTTTCTTAAATGTCTGGAATTCTAAAGCAAAGATCATATTAACCTTCAACATATAGGAAATGAACTTTTCCCTAATACAGCTAACAGAGTGGAGAAAGGGAAATGGTGGTGCACGCCTTTAATCCCAGCACTTGGGAGGCAGAGGCAGGTGGATCTCAGTGAGTTCAAGGCCAGCCTGGTCTACAAATTGGGTTCCAGGACAGCCAGAACTGTTGCACAGAGAAACACAGTCTCAGAAGGAAAAAAACAAAGTAACAAAGGAGTCGCAGCAGCCGTTTGCACCCCAGTGCCATGGGGTAAAAGTAGAAGCCATTGACTCTTAGGTAATGGGGTAATTGTAGACATCCACACGACCTATTAGAACCATGACTCATTAGCATCAGGACCCAGTACCATCTGTGCAGCTGGGCATATTTTTATAATTGAGATTGCTAAGGCTCCCGAAGTTAGATCAATATCTGAGTGTCATTGTCTCCAATTCTGTAACCCTGTCACTGAGCTCCTGTGGCCCACCATACAGAATGTGCCCCCACCCTACAGCTCTCTCTCTGTTTACTAAATAGATGGCTGGACAGCTGGGCTGTTGCTGTGAGAACTCTGCAGCCAGCCTGCTTAGGTTCAAAGCTGAGTTCGCCACTCACTTGGTGTGTGGCCTGGGCAGCTGATTCAGCCCTTCCTACCCCATTTCTTCCCCTGGAAAACATACTTGTGAACATGAGTGTAGTCACAGCGGTGCTTTTAGAACTAAATGTGAGGATGCAGCAAGTAAAACACTGGCCATAAGGGTGCACACCTAGAATCTGAAGCAGGGGGATTGAACTATGGAGGCCCTGGGCTACATAGACAGCCTTTCTCCCAGAAAAAAAGAAAGAGGAAAAGACGCAAAGCTGAAATATGCTGGTTATCTCAGTTGTCAACTTGGTGAGCCCGAGAATCACCTGGGGAAATGGGCCTGTGGGAACACCTGTGAGGGATTACCTCGATTAGACTGAGCTCAAAAGACTCACTGTGGAGAGCACCATTACCTGGGCCGGGATCCTGAACTGGATAACAAGGATGATGTGAACAGAGTGCAAGCATTCATCCTTCTCCGACTCCTGACTGTGCACACACGTGACCAGCTGCCCCACTCTCCTGCCACCCTGCCTCTCCTGCCACCCTGCCTCTCCTGCCACCCTGCCTCACCTGCCACCCTGCCTCTCCTGCCACCCTGCCTCTCCTGCCACCCTGCCTCTCCTGCCAGGATGGACTGCGTTTTGGAACTGTGGACCAAGATAACCCTTTCTCCATTAAGATGCTTTTGTCGGGGTCTTTTGTTACATTTTATTTCTTTTGTGTGCATGCATGCACATGCCACAGTGTGTGTGCCGCAGCACATATGTGAGGTGAGAGACTCTTACAAGAGTCTGCTCTCTGCTTGTGGGTACTGGGGATCAAACTCAGGTCCTCAGGCTTGGCAGCAGGTTCCCTTACCACTAAGCAATTGCACCAGGCCCCTCAGAGTGTTTCATCACAGCAAGAGAAAGGGAAGGAAGAAGACAAGACAAGGAAGAGAAGAGAAGGTGCTTTGAACATTTCGTGGCCTCCAACTACAAGCCATGAAGCCTGTGCTGTGATTAACTGGCACAATACAGTTTGCCCAGCCCTTCAGAGTTGCAAATTTTGAGTTATCTTTAACTCTTGGGATCCATACAAGCTATCAACAGTACACACTTGATCTAAGCCAAATGGCTCAGAAGCCATCAACAGTCGTGTATTGCGTGAGAGTAGACTGCAGATGAGAACAGAATTTATGCATTCTTACTTGGCATCCTGCGGCATTGTTTGACTGTGTTGCAGTAAGCATGTTGTACCATAGTCAAAATAAATCAATAAGAAGTAAATAGACGCAGAATATTTCAAAGCTTGCTTCTGCAATGTGCTCTAGTTCTTAGAGCTCATCTTCTGGAATTTCTTTTGTACATCTACCATCCCGGGCCTCCTAGGCCTCAGGGGAGTTCCCCTCCCCTCCCCAGGCTAACCTTTGATGAGGTTTTGATTATGATCCAGTAGACACTGAGTTCTGCATTCCCAAAGGTGCTTCTGTAGGAAGGCTTGTAGGTGTAAGCACACTGGTGCTCAGACAGGAAGATGGAGGCCATGCACCAGGGAAACAGAGGTATGGCAAGACATTGCTGATGACCAGAGTGCTGGAAGCTGCCAGTGTTCTGCCATCTGGGCAGCACGCTGGCCATCTGCATCTAGGTTGTCAAGGAAAGAAGTGACTAAACAGAGAAGCAAACCATCAGATGTCCTGTCCAGTGTGGCTCTGCTGGCCCCACGAAGCCCACGAACACAGCACAACACACTGGTTCCCACCAGCTAGAGGACTGTGAGGTTTAGTACAACTGTAGAAATCATCAAACCGCCTCACGGTGTTTAGTAACTGGTGAGGGGTATTTGCTTATTTGTCTATTTTAAACACCGTGTTGCAACTATTAGACAAGTTTTTCTTTTTTTTTAAGATTTATTTATTTATTATGTATATGGAAGAGGGTGCCAGATCTCATTACAGATGGTTGTCAGCCACCATGTGGTTGCTAGGAATTGAACTCAGGACCTCTGGAAGAGCAGTCGGTGCTCTTAACCTCTGAGCCATCACTCCAGCCCAAGACAAGTTTCTTAAGGTACTCCAACAACTAAGCCACATCTCCAGCCGCCTTAATCTCTTGTTAACTGGGAGTATATTTTGGTAATGATAGTTTACCTTGAACTCTTGAGCTTGCTTTTCCTTCCCCTACCTGCCAAGTGCTGGGATTCTGGTGTGCTCAAACCCAAAGGGTTTATTTCTCCGGTACAAGAGTCCACTGGGAAGAGGGAGGCCAAGCTCTGCTCTACAGTCTTTCAGGAACCAAAGTAGATAGGGGCTCTGGCATCTTTAATGCTGGTTTGCCAATGCTTTGGACTTTGGCATCCAGCTGGGGAAACTATTAGAAAAGGTATGTAGGTGGGGAGTTGGGTAGGAGAGTATTATGAGCCATTCCAGAAAATGGTGCCATTGTATTCTACCAAATGGAACCCCAGATACATGGCTACCATCCATCTATCTGTAAGGGAGGCAAGACATGTGTCATCAGTGTGCCTAAAGAAAATGTGGACAAGAATTTGGCAAAGAGAATTCATCCTATCTACCATAAGGGATCACATACTGAAGCATGTGAAGTAAGGATTCCAGGTGTGTATGATGTGTGTTTGGCTTAATGGCTTATGGAGGGCCTTATGCCAAAAGAGGTAGAATGCCCAAGCAAAGGCTAGATAGTGAACTGGGCTAAAGCTGGTCCAAATAATGAGGGTGGAGCTGGTGATGGAATGGATTGACTCGTTTAGGGCTTAGGGTTTGGGCAGAGCATTCTGGTAAGTTGCTTGTTTAGTTCAAAGGGTTCTTGGTGCCTGCCTTCAGACCTTGAAGAACACACTTCCTGCTGCTCTATGGCCATGTGACGAGCTCTGTCCAATGGCAAGAATGACTGCATTACTTCCAGACGGAGTTATTTGTTGGTATGAGGCTCTCTAGAGGACTCCCTTCCCTTTTCCAATGACCAACAATGTTCTAGAGGGATCCCCTTTCAGTTACCTGGGTCCTGCAGAAAGACATTAGTGATGTTCCACACCTATGCAGCATCTTATCCTGAGACACTGAGATTTTTTTTAATTAATTACAGTTTATGTAAAGTATGTGTGTGTTGTACAGCAGGCACCTTTACCTGCTGGGCCATCTCACTGTAGCATAAGTTATTCTGTCTGATAGGCACTTTTTCAGTCCAGAGGCCTCAGATGGTCAACAAGACAACTCCCCACCCCCAAAAAACCAACCAAAAGGCCCTATTATATTATTTTGGCCCAACCAAAAGGTCTATTACAGAGCACCAGTTCTAAGAACTAAGGAGTCATGTTCCTCAACAAAATGTATAAAACCAGGTCTGGGCTCATGAGAATCCCAGCACTTGAGAGACAGAGGGAGAAGGAAATGCCAGAGTTCATCACTACCCTGTCTCCAAAAGAGAGACAGAAGTGTGTGGGGGGGGGGGGGCTAAGGACGTGGCTCAGTGCTTACCTGGAATGCACAAAGCCCCGAGTTCCATCCCAGGTACCTGTAATCTAACACTTCAGAACTACAGGCAGGATGATCACAAGCTCAGCTACACGGCAAATTTAAGGCTAACCTGGATACCTGAGATCATCTCATAAATAAATTGTACATTATTGTCCCAATATAAGAAAAGGAGGTGTACAGTGGGCATTGGATTACTGTAATTAACTTATTTTTTGAGGTAGTATCTCATGCATCCCACATTGGCTTCCAACTTACTGTATAGCCAAGAATGATTTTGAATTTTTTTTTTAATTTATGTGCATTGGTGTTTTGCCTGCATGAGAATATCAGGTACCCTGTTACAGACAGTTGTGAGCTGCCATGTGGGTGCTGGGAATTGAACCAGGGTCCTGTGGAAGAGCAGTCGGTGTGCTCAACTGCTGCGCCATCTCTCCAGCTGTGCTGGAATTTTTGATCCTGTTGTTTCTACCTCTCAAGTGATGGGATTACAGGCCTGTGTGCCACCCCACCTAGTTTTTTTGGTGCACAGGATAGAACTTTGTGCATGCTAGGCAAAAACTCTACCAACTAAGCTACATTCCCCAGTCTTATTTTAAAGACTGATAAAAATCCACTCTCAATAGAACCCTAGATATGCTCTATTCCTTAAAGGATCGTTCATTTGCAGACAATTTCAAGCCACAAAGTGCTGAAGAGAGATATTAAGGGCAGATTAGGACCTAATCAAAGTCATTCCTCCAATCCCACAGAATCAGAGGCTTTAAAAAGATAGGAAGGGAACTGGAGGGGGACTTGTGGACAGTTGTCAAAAGCATTTTTTATGTAGGGTACAGTTTTGGCTACTCACTGTCTTCTGGGCTCTCCTCCTGTATTAGAGGATACCTTATCATTTATATATATATATATATATATATATATATATATATATATATATAATTTTACATATATATAATCTTATATCATCATTGTGGATAGCTTTAGGGACCCTCCTTGCACTATTGCTTATGTACCAGCTCTATACTGTTTTCCCATTTGTGCAAGTCCACCTTTTTTTTTTTTTTTTGGTTTTTCGAGACAGGGTTTCTCTGTGTAGCTTTGCGCCTTTCCTGGGACTCACTTGGTAGCCCAGGCTGGCCTCGAACTCACAGAGATCCGCCTGGCTCTGCCTCCCAAGTGCTGGGATTAAAGGCCTGCGCCACCACCGCCCGGCCAAGTCCACCTTTTTTGAGTAACTTGACACAGAGGGACAGTGATGAGGAATCATGATTCTTTATGCATTCCCTTAGGGTGAAATGAGAGGCTGGACTTGGTTTAATTTGGCAACACTGGAAGAGCCCCGTGTTTCCAGCCAGCTGGGCCAGTCACCTTAACCAGAGTTTGCCAAGCAGTAAACTCCTTAGGTGCAGGCCCTGTGGGTTACTCACCTGTGAATAGATGGTCCTTAAGAACTTGCTTTGGGGTTGTCCAGTTTTCTAGCTTGCACATTGGTTCTGCCACTTAATAACTAGGTATCCTTGGCCTCTTAAGCTCCCTAATGCAGCCTCACAGCCTGTAAAATGGGGATACAAATAAATGCCCGCTCCTTTGATTTACAGACGCTAAATGAGACTCTTGTGTGTGAAGCTGCTAACCGTGGCTTCAGTGGGCCGAGAGCGTGGAGAAGCCAGGGTGTGTGGTCTTCCAAGATACTGTCCTTTCTGTCACGAGCTACAAGCACAGTACTTAATGATTGTGTCAATAGCAGTTTTAAGAATTCCTTTGCCAGAGGCTGTCAACGCTATAAAAGTTGTACAGTGTTTACCCCAGAAGGACTGGTTTTCATTTTATCTGGAGTGTTTGAATGTTTACGTGTATTAAAATTTAAAATAAGCACATTTTGAAGGGGGAAACATGTTTGGCCAGCAGGGTTACCAGCTTATTTACTAAGCCTTTCGATTCTTTTAGATACTGCAAAAACAAGGACGAGAAAACTCTTAGTTATTACACCTGTTAATATGGCAGCCCTTCCCACTCGGGCCTGTGGGTAGAAACAAAGTAAAAAAATCTTTTCACACGGGACTTTTAGACCAGCTGTCACATCCTACCGTCATGCCCGTTGGTCCTTGGGGTCAACAGTTTCTCTGAGCTCTTCCCGGCTCAGGGGCAACTAGCTGGGGCTTACAGGGGAATCCAGGCGCAGGCTGGGCCGGGCCGGGCCAGGCGGACCCTCGGGGCGCCCGGTGCCCGGAACGCTCCTGCCACTGCAAGCCAGAGCAGGCCCGAGGGGCGGGCCCCAAGCCTCGGCCTCGCCTCCCACTGCCGCCCGCCGCTTCCCGGCCGCCGAGCCGGGCAACGCCACCAGCATGCTGCAGAAACGGGAGAAGGTGCTGCTGCTGAGGACTTTCCAGGGCCGGACGCTGCGGATCGTTCGCGAGCACTACCTGCGGCCTAGCGTGCCCTGCAACAGCCCGCTCTGCCCGCAGCCCGCCGCCTGCCGCAACGGTCAGGGCCGGGGAGGAGCGGGGAGGCCGGGGCCCGAGGAGCGAGGGAGGCCGGGGCCTGACGTAGCGAGGGCTGCGGGGCGCGAGGGAAGGGAGCCGGGGGCCGAAGGAAAGAGGAGGCCGAGGCCCGAGGAGCACAGGGAGCCCGGGCCTGGCGTCGTGATGGCGGCCGGGCACTAGAGAAGGGAGCGGGGACCTAAGGAGAGAGGCGAGCCGGGGCCCGGGAGCGAGGGCGGCTCTGGCCTGGCGTCAAGGGCGGAGCCGGAGCGAGCCAAAGCAGCCTGGGCTTGGCGGAACCAGGGCGGTCCGGGAGGCGGCCCGGAGCGAGCGCTCTCTGCGGGTCGGAAGCAGGCGGCACCCTCCTCGCGGGGCTCGTCTACCGCAATGGCTCGGCCAAATGGGGGGCACCGAGAACCTGCTGTGCCCTCAGCCCAGAGGCTCCGGGTGCTTCGGGTTTCTCGAGGGACCTCAAGGCGTAGGCACCTCCCTCTTTCCGCCCGCAGTGAGATCAGGGAGGCTCGCCCGAAAGAGGCTGCTCCCGCCAGGCTCCTGAGCGCACTGCTGGGCATTTGACATGCCTGCTCTGCTCCTGCCAGTAGGCAGACCCTCCTCCAGCATGACCGCCTCTTCATTATAGGAGACTTGGGCTGGGGACTGCTGTGAGCCACACTTCCCTTTTTCAGGCTGCAAGGGTCGCTGTTTCTTACCCCTAGTGGGAGATGAACATGAGGGGTCTTTTCAGAATGTATGACTGAGGTCACCGCTTGGCGAAAGAGCTGTCAGTTGAGTGGAAGCCTTACTTACCACTGCCCAGACTGCACATCCTTTCTAGCACATTCTCTTCAACCCTTAGGAGCAGTGGCTCTCAACCTTCCTGATGCTGCAACCTTTTAATACAGTTCCTCATGTTGTGGTGACCCCCCCACCCACCATAAAGTTATTTCGTTGCTACTTCGTAACTGTAGTTTCGCTACTGTTATGAATGGTAATGTACACATCTGACATGCGACCTCTGTGAAAGGGTCAATCGCCCGGGAGTCGCGACTCATGGGTTGAGAACCTCTGTCTTAGAGCCTTGTAGCCATGTTCAGAAGCTTCAAACAGAATAACTTTGGAATTTTCAGGTACATGGAAGTAGTTAACATACACATATTTGCACGTGTGCATTTATGTGTATGTACATATATGTGTACGTGTGTGTAGGTGTAGGTATATGATGGATATGTAAATATCCATTACAATGTTCATGCATGTCAGTAATGAGTTAATAGAAATTTAACTTCTGCCAAGGATGTACCTGTTTTTAAAATATCAGCCATCCTCTCCCGCAGTACTGGCAAGAGCATAAACCATGTCGTGCTTGTATTTAATCACAGCTTCAAAAAAAAAGGGAGAGAAGGCGGCAGTGAATCTACTCGGAACTTTGAGCTTCTACTAAAGTAGATTTGTCTTGTCTTTGAAAAACTTTAAGGTGAAATTAAGACGAGAAGTTATTTTGCACACCGGGGCACTGTGACATTGAAATAGTCATAAACCAGGTTTGAAAATGTTACCTAATCGTTTCCACTCTGAATTATGTTTCAGATGGGAAGCTCTTGTCTGCTGAAGTGACTCATTATGTGATTCCAGACTGGAAAGTTGTCCAGGATTACCTTGAGGTCCTCGAGTTTCCTGAGTTGAAGGGAATCATTTTCATGCAAACGGCTTGTCAAGCTGTGCAGCATCAGAGAGGCCGGAGGTATCTGTTTTGCATTATTTATTTATTTATTTATTTATTGTGAAGGTTCCCCCACCCCCTTTAGAAAAGGTCCCTTGTTAGAGCGAAGGAGGAGGAATTCATTATGTTGTCAGGAAGGATTTTTGAAACTAATTTGGTATTCTCTTTGCTGGTGAGGAATGCAGTACCGTTTTGTCTGTGCGCTTCAACACCTGGCCCAAAGATCTAACTGTAGATCAATAAACTGCGATGTCCCCAGGATGCAGGCATTTAGGATTCGGTGGTGAATTGGCTTCTAAGGTTTCTATCTTTATAGGTAGCACAATTGTTTCTTTTTATTTTTGCTAATAATGTACATTATTTAATCTTCTTATTTATAGATACATTGTTTCAGGAGCATTCTTTTCTTGGGAAAAGAGTACTTTTAAATCTTATCTTCCTTTATTGTGCATGCAAATTGTACTTGCAGTGATTTATTCAATGAAATTAAAAAAATAGCTCATTCTTATTTTTAGATTAGTCCTGTAACTATCAGCCGTAGTAATTGTATTTGCTGAACAAAACATTTTTAATTGAACCAGTTTAAAATACTTGCCTTGTGCCTAAATGAAAGAAAAATTGCCCCTTTCTGTACAAATACCCTAAAATACGGTTTTGCCTCATTTTTTTTTTTTGTTTTTTTTTTTTTGGTTTTTCGAGACAGGGTTTCTCTGTGTAGCTTTGCGCCTCTCCTGGAACTCACTTGGTAGCCCAGGCTGGCCTTGAACTCACAGAGATCCGCCTGGCTCTGCCTCCCGAGTGCTGGGATTAAAGGCGTGCGCCACCACCGCCCGGCACGGTTTTGCCTCATTTAACATTTAGAAACTTTTGTGCTCTGAACTTAAGACTGTGAGAATAGCATGTTAGAATTATATACCTAAACCCTCAACACCTCAAGTTGTTTAACAAGCAAAAACTGTATTTATTCTGCTTTTAAGATGTTTTGGTTTCTTCAGACTTTGGTAGTAAAAGATAAAGTTTTCTTTATTTGTATATGAAAATGATAAATTGTCCTTATGCTCAGTTCAGAAAAATACACGTTAGCTGGAATGTGCCTGGGTTTTTTTTTTCAAATTGAGTATTTTAAAATGAGCTTGAAGTTGATTTTATTCAGCCACAGAGATATAGATGTTTACACACATCCAGGTTTAAACACTGCTGCAGGTGTCATATTTCAATTTCTTCCACTAAAATCAATTTGTTGTTATCATTCAGATCGCTCACACACTGCAAGCCTCTTCAACTTCTGTTTTCTAAAATGTTTTTAATATTAGGATTGTTTTGAAAACCTATTCCTGAGACAACCGAAAGCAAAGAGTTGGAATTTAAATGTCCTTTCTCCTGAATGTTTCCGTAGTTAGGTTGATGAAGGGCTGATGCTATTGGGTTTTGCTGTGCTTACCCTGTGTGTTAGTATTCTCTATGAGAAAGCAAAAGGTGAGGAGTTGGGAAGCAGGCCCTGCTACACCCCTTGTTTTTCATTAGATGACCACTTTGTCAGCTTGAACTGTTGGTTCCTTTAACAGATAAGCCAAGTACTGGGATGCAAGACTCCCTCTGTCTTAGGGTTTTTATTGATGTGAACAGACACCATGACCACGGCAACTCTTATAAATGAAAACATTTAATTGGGGTGGCTTGCTTACAGTTTCAGAGGTTCAGTCCATTGTCATCATGGTGGCGTACAGGCAGACATTGCTAAGAGTCCTACATCTTGCAGGCAACAGGAAGTTGACTGAGACACTGGGCGGTATCCTGAGCATAGGAAACCTCAAAGCCTACCCTCCCCACCCCTGACAGTGGCACACTTCCTGAAACAAAGCCATACCTCCCAATAGTGCCACTCCCTATGAGATTATAGAGGCCAACTACATTCAAACTACCACACATTCAAACGTTACAATATCAGCCTTGTTTCTAGCAGAAAACGTCTTCCTGGATACCCAATAGCCAGGCATGGTGGCAAACACCTATAATCCCAGCAATTGTAAAGTAGAGGCAGAAGGGTCAGGAGTCCTAGGTCAGTCTAGGTTATACAGAAAGCTTGAATCTAGTATAGACTATATGAGACTCTGTCATAACAAACAAACATGCATAATTGTATGGATATTTAGCTATAAATCTACTTATAGTCTTCATGTTTAAGTATTTAATAAACCTTAAAACCAAATTAGACCTTTAAATTTAATAAACAGCACAAAATTATAAAACTATAAATGTATTACAGTAGTCCCTTGGTTTATGAAAGGAATGATTCTAGGACCCCAGGGCTACTAAAATTTGTAGCTATTCAAGTTCCAGATAAAATGGTACTGGAGAGCTGGAGAGATGACTCAGAAGTTAAGACCATTTGTTGCTCTTGAAGAGGACCCGGGTCTGATCCCCTCAACCTCAAACTCCAGTTCCGGAAGATCCAATGCCCTCCCTCTGCTGACCTCTGTGGGGACCAAGCATTCTTATGGTATACATATATACATTCAGGCAAAACAGTCACGCATGAAATGAATATGTCTAATTTTTAAAATAAATAAATAAATAAGTAAATAAAATGGCATCAGACCAGCAAGGTGGCTCAGCATGTAAAGGATTGTGTCACCAAGCCCAGTGACCTTAGTTTTTTTTTTTCTTTGTTTTTTT